GCTGTGGACACGTAGGCGGAAGTAGGCAGCGTTGCAGGGGAAGGGGAATGGCAAAAGGCATGACAGCGGCGGGATTCGAATAAAAATGCAGCTGAACTCTCTTGAGTTCTGTAGTCTCCATATATTACTTCCATCTTTGTTTTTTTTTCGACGAATTTTTTTACTCTCGTTCATATTCCTCAGGCTTTCTCTTTCATCCCTCACTCTGTCCTGCTGACGAGCTCTTCACTGAAATGCAATCGATATCTGCATCTTCCTTGAGCATAAATTCTTGGTTTTTATTTCTTTTTTCAAACCCTTTATTTTTTTTGTTGGTGTTTTATCTTACAATAATATTTGCTTTTATATTAATGCATTATTGACGTTTGTACTTAATTTTATGACGATTCGTAATTCCTTTTTATGACAGTTGATCAGCATCAAAGTCATATAGTAGGTTATAATGTGGACCCCTTTATTCGTTACTCGCATATTTGCCTGATGATCGGCAGTTCTGTGAAACATAAATATAATTCAGCTTAAGTTAACAAAGTCTGTTGGCCATTCTTCGTGTTTTAATAAATTTACTGAGAACATCTGTCTTTGTAGTTATCTTCGCCGCATTGCGGATAGCAAATTATAACGGAACGATCACGATGGTGCTTCTTAGTAGCGTTCCATTTGTGCACTGTTCCTCAATGTCTTGCTTGATCGCGCGTTGAGTTGATAACCTTTTCACCAAACCAGGAAAGGTGATGTCGGTGCATTTTTCTACGATTTATAATAAGTTATCAGAGAAAAGTTTTTCTCCTTGTTTTGGCATTCTACTAGCTACCTTAGCCTATTTGAAATACAGTGGACTTTGAAGTCTTTTCACGATGTTTTCAAGATTTCCATAGGATTTAAGTTAGAATGCGTAATTAAACCTGGTTGGAATAGTGATACAGGCCTGCGTTTGGTGAATTAAACTGACCGAGGCAGAGATATCATTTACATTCTGGGGCGGGCTATTAAACCAATCATCCAAAAAACCTGTGCCAATCGTTATATACTTTCAAACTTGCTTTACACAATTTCCACTGCAGCTTTAAGACATATTTTTACGTGAAAAACTATTTAGTATATTCTTACATTAATGTTAAACGTTAAGCGTTTACTCATCATGGTGGAATTTCTTCGTTTAGCTTGTCCACTAAATAAATTGTAAGTGGCTCCCTCAACGAGATAACTTAAGAAACACAAACCGATTTTTAAAGCAGGTTGCATTACAAGAAGTATCAGACCCATTCGAAATGTGCCTCTGTTTTATAGAAACATGACGAAAAATACAGCGATATGCTCCGATAAAACGCACCTGACAGTTGAGCTAATTTTTGACGACATTATATTACAGAATGGCAGCTGACAATGCAAATAATAGACTTAGTATGGAACCATAAGTGCTCAGGACTTGATTTTAAGTTTACTTTGCATAATTTGATGCCTGGATTGTTGATGAGGTTTTATAGCTACGAGTTGTCATGTTGACATAAAAATTGTTGATGGGCATAGTTGTCCTGATTACTGATCTGAGGTTGATCAGCTTTATTTAAAAGTGACTTAGAGATCTGACGTTTTTTCCATTGAGCTTAACTAAATGACGCTTGTGCAATCAGAGCTGGACAACGTAACTTAAATCATCATGCGTTTTGCCGTATTTCTTTCGCTAAATGTACTGTAAAGCTACCCTACATTACCTCAGTCTCAGCACTCAAAAAAACCAAAAATTAGAGTTACAAGGACATTTTTATGAAATTAAGTACTATATTAGTTCGCGGTTATTTAACAGATTTGGAAAAGCTTATGCAATCATGGTTAAATGTATCCCATTCTCAATCCACTTAGGTAACCATTGTGAAGAAAATCTCTAAGTCAACATCTAAACTCCTAAAGTGCATATAATTCAGTAAGTCTAATGTACTATCAACGGCGCTACCCTTAACACCACCAAAATATCTTTTGTAAATTATTTGGATCTGCTGATTCAGAAGAGCAGTTCTGTATAAAAACAATTTTCCGATAACTTTTGCGCAATAGAAAATATTTTTTAATTATAAGATTGTAAATGCTATCAAGTAAATATCCCTGCATTTGACTTTTAAATCACAAGTTGTTTAAATCATCGGATTCACTGTCACTAATTCAAAGGCCTTGAAATTTATCTTGATTATGGGTGTTCCTAAATTCTATCGGTGGATTAGTCAACGTTATCCTTGCATCAATCAGATATTGCGTGAAAATGAGGTAAAAATGCCACTTACTATCCCACATAAACTTTATTGACTTCCAGGAGATAATTGACGTTCACATTGAAAATTATTTCATAGATTCAACATGTCTGCATGTCTTCGTGATTTTACCACATTGAATTCTTAGTTCACGATATTTGGCTTGCGATGCCAGTGTTGTGGCTTGATTTTGAGGTACAATCGTTGTGCTTTTGGTTTTTAGCTGCGTTCAGGCCACCTTATCCTTCTTTTTCTATTGTCAAATTCCCCATTTTGACTCAAATTAATGAGGTGGAATACATTTTTCGCGCATAAATTAGATCGGACACCGCAGTTTCTGATCACATGTATTATTTTATTTGCCTATTCAACTCTGTGTGTTAATCCTTCTAACTTCGACTGCTAATCTTCTCATGCCTGTATCAAAGATACTTTCTGTACACCGGTTGAAATCATGAAAACAGAACATCAAAATAACATTTGATTCTGTTTTTTTCCATCAAGGTAGTACCGATAGACCATTTATATCTTGACATGAATGGGATCATTCATACATCCTCGCATAGTGAAAATATGGCCTTTAGTACTTACAATGAAGAACATGTGTTTCAATTAATCGCGGATTACGTAAATCACCTCACATGCATGATCAAGCCAAGGAGAACACTCTTCATAGCCGTCGATGGCGTCGCACCACGTGCTAAAATGACTCAACAACGAGCCCGTCGGTTCCAGTAAGTTTAATATGAATTTTTCTGTAGGTAGACCGCATTTTAGACGTATGGTTTTCCTCCCCAACATATCTCGCTGTTCCGCTCACTACCATTCGCGTTTTCACATGCCTAAATTTTGTATTTCCTAAGTTGTTAATCCTTTAAGGTGTCTTCGTTCATCTTTTGGAAATCATACATTATTTAATCGGAATGGCATCATCCAAATGCCTGTTCATTCCACGACAACATACTTCCGATTCTGACCATCCTTTTTTTTTCTGGCGACATGTGTCCATGTTTTATGTCGTGCCAAAAAGCCTCAGGTTTCCTAAGCGCCCCTTTTTGCGTTCCAATGCTTATTCAACCAGTTAATTGTTCATTGTAGTTGCATTTTATGGATTCCATTCTTATTAGTCTTCGAAATGTTATTTTTTTGGTAAATTCATCTATTCTTCTTGATAATTTTAGTTTTTCATCACTCGCGATGCAATCAGATTGTTTCGAACACTGATCTGATGCTCTGTTATCAGAATTAATGTCAATTTCTCTTGCACAGAGCCTTGTTCTCACCAAAACCACATCTTTTAAAATAGTATCAATTAGCTCGATGATTAGATTAACTATGCAGAAATTTGAATGGGAAAGTCTCGTCACTCTTGAATGTTTTTTTTTTCAACGGCTACGCGATTAATTCTTTCTAGAATTACGTCTGCAGTTCTCACATTTCATTTTCTGGGGTCGGTTTTCATCAGAAAGACAACTTCGCTTCCTGATGAAAATACAACCAAACCACACCAAATAGGAAAACTACCGTCTAGATTATTCGTTTTATCAAAAACTGGTACTTGATTGCATGAGTGGCATTTGTATTGAGGACTGACGCATAATTTTTTATGGACCTGGTTGTAGTATTTATTTAATGTTTCAATTGAAAGATTTGGTCGTTTATAAATGGCACAGAAGCCGTAATGTGACCTTAAAGTCACATTTACGCAGCTACACGTGACTAGTGTAAGATAGTCTCAGTCTCTCGATGCTGGCCCCGGCTGAAACCTTTTCTGACTACTCGCTGATCCCATTTGTCAAATGTGTCGCTGGTTAGGAAGCCAGTGGCATCAAAATCTACAAGTGATGTAATTAAAAGGGTTCTCAATCAACTCCAAGTTGCTCTGAGGGCTCTAAATTTCTCATTTGAGTTCGATCTGGCTCTGCACTCGCGCCTTGCACTTCACAGTAATCTATCTGGTGGCTATTCCTGTTTAGTCACCACCTTATTATAAGCATTCATTGTTAACTCTCCAGAGGTCCCAAAGAGACAGCCGCTGAAATTAAAAGGCGCAAGAACAAGGGGATGGAAATCGACGAGAAGGCTCTCTTTGATCCCAACGTTATATCTCCTGGTACGTGCTTCGCCTCTTTTGATTTCACCTGTGTGCCTTTACTTGACGTATTCTATGTGAGCCTAGATTTTCATTAGTAAAACAACTCAAAAGACGGTATTTAACCACAAAAAATGACCGTAGAAATTAAAATCTTGTCGCGTACTGGTGTGGGACAGTCTGACATGCACCAGCCATCGTATTGACGTTTAGTCTCCCTAATTTTTAGAGAGTATGGGTTTAATTAGTCTCTCTCAACCTCTCTATGACCTAAAAAAGGGGGTCAATATTTGTTTTTTTTTTAAATTCCACTAGCCCGATTATCCGTTAGATAAGTACGGGAATTTCACCCTTCAAAGATTTCAGTCTCAAAGATATTTTTTGATCATGTAGGATCTGAGTAAACCCTACTCCCAATGCCTGTAATTTTCAGACTAATTCGTGGTTATTTACTAATCGTTCTTCTTGACTTCTAATGTTGCGTAACCAGCATAACCCGCATTGTTGAAACTACCACTTCAAAACGTCAAGTGTGGTGACTTGTCACTCTTGATAGCTGCTATAGTAACTATGACGTGCTTACGTCTACTTGGCGACTGCCCTGGCATGTTTTCCACCAAAAATAACCGTGGTGTGCAAAATTAAATCTGCCAATCTGCAAGCCGTCCAGCAAAAGAAAGCCCCCCTTTTACCAAGCCTAGACCGACTGGAGTACATTGTCGCGCCGGAGGGCCCTAATCCCCCTGTGGAGCTGTCCTAACCTCCCGCATTACCCCTCGGAATTCGTTAAACCTCCTGTAATCCCCGAATTTGTGTGCCAGAACACACTAAAAGGCTCCATCCTTACACAACTTGTTGTAGGTGCCGTATTCCATCTCGTTTACGATAGCGACGTCACCTGGACTGTCGCTCTATGCGCGATCGCGCGGTGTTTGAATCGGTGATGGTGAAGTTGTGCAACCGTTAGCACTCTGTCACCTCCCATTGTCGCTCATTAATTACTATGCCTTTTGAGTCGTGTTCAATTCAACTGTTTTTTTTTAACTTACTTCCTCACTTTCACATGTTCATGCAACGCAATATTTCGCAGGATTTTACAGAGCTTAAAGGGCTTGCAGTCACAACCACGACCTTGTCTCAGTTGTTTCAATTAATTACTAAAATCTAGTCGAATATAAAATTGGTGGAATTTCGGGGAAGGTGTTTACTAAGCACCCTCACAGTTGCGGGGTGTTTTGGCGGTTCTTGTGATCACTTTCAATTCAAACTGGATCCACATTAGTTGCATTGATTTCACTGGCCCCCTTCTATTGTCTGAATTCGAAATTTCATTTTTCATACAAGAATTCAACTCCGCATTATAGTTACGAGGTTTAGTTGTCCTGCGTTTAGTGTTAACTCCTAGTGTTTTAGTCATCATCTTGTCTTACTAAATGAAACTATTTTATGTATCAGCTGACTCCAAATATTTGAACAGCTTTAATACCTACCTACCTCAAAGATATCTCTAGATTTTGACTCCACGCAGAATTGACCTACGAGTGGGGGGGGGACTAGTCGTGTTGTAGTAAAACTTTCTCGACAAGCCTCCTCTGAATTTCACCAGCGTCTTTAGGGCGAATTAAACAGCAAATGGTACATGGCTTATCTTCTTGCTGTTAGCTTGTGTAGGCAAAGACCGGCATAGAGCAGGCGCTGCTGTTCCTGATTTGTCTAATGAGTGCGCAGACGATTGTTAGTCCTACGTACACCCCCTGTGGCTCGCAAATATTTCTCATGGCTGCCCCCTACTCACCACGCTCCCTACGCGGCCGCCTCTGCCGCCGGTCTGGCCTGTTCTCGGCGCGACCGACAACAAATAACACGAGTGTTGCGTGCGCTAGGCCACGATTTTACTCTGCCTTGTTTGATACTCGTTACGGGTGAAAGCAGTCTCAAATACGACCCCATACTGCAACACGACCTTTTAGCACGCCTGATGGAATTTGACATGTTCCTGAATTGAGTCACCGTCTTTGAGCTAACGTTGACAGATTTAAAGGAAATGGCGAGGGTTGTAGTACTCAGAAAAGACAGATCACGTTCAACTCCAGTCAAAGAACTGCATTGTCGAATTTGTGTCACAGAGAGCACCGTTCAAATGCTGATAGCGCTTTATCGTATTCGGCGCCTTAATATTTAACGATATGTATCTTGGTGTTGCTATCATCACACCTCATGCGCGAATAGATAATAACTAGGGTAATACGGCGCGTTCCAGCTATACTTTGTCAAAAGAAAACTCTTTATTCGTCTCCCTATAACCCCTTATCAGAGGTTATGGAGTTGAGCACTAGGCCTCATTTAGCACACACTTCTTGCACCATCCGTGATTGTGTTTTGTCCCTAATCCCGACTTATAATTCAGGTCATAGAGCCGGCTGGAGATTCGTACCCAATTTTTGACATCTACATTTGTGCTTCTCCAGATCACAATTGGTTTAAAATAAACTTCACAGAAGTAAAATTAAATTAAAAGACATGTTTAAAAACAAAAAAATACAAGATTTTCATTTCCACCGTTCACTACTCAACGTTTTCTTCCGCAAAATCCTTGGAAAAAATGTTGAGTCCAACCAATCAACAGCAGATTATTGATCGTTGTGGGATAAATAGGGATACGCGGAGTCTTTCGTTGTGGTTTTTGTGCTTGCGACTGTGATTGCTTCTTTTCCACCACAGGGACGGAATTTATGGTGCGATTGCACGACTTCCTCAAGAAATTTATCGCCAGCCAAATCACCTCCGATCCGGTCTGGCGTCGCATCGACATTATCTTTTCGGGTCATGACGTAAGTTACTCTTGAAACAAAAGCATTAGCCTACTGATATCTCCCGTTTTTTTTAAATTCCGCATTTTGTCATTCGTCATTGGTGGTCCACAAATGCCTCTTGATTCCTACAAGCTCGCGATGTGTCTAGCAAACTTTTAAAAAAAAAACTCGGAACTTACATTTCAGTGGGTTGACATGCACCCTCGTCTCCTTTAATTTCTTCCGATTTAACGTCTGCCATCCTTATTAGATTCGTTGTTCCTCTTCTCCGCCTTCTGTTTTCCTCCCACCCTTTCTCTTTTCCCTCTCTGTTCGAAGCCCCGCCGTAGCACTGTATTTTCACGGTCTTGATTGAGAAGGTGTTCACGGTTATTATTGATACCTCTCGTGGTACCTCCACACAATTAGACCGCCAAACCCGGCGAATTGATCGGTCCGTCCGTGTACTTCGGGTTCGCCCTCAACACTTAGTCAATTGGTGAATTTGTACCTGCGGTCGGGCTTCCATTGATACCTCGATTTCCAAACTTCGTCTCACCTCCTAGGGTGTCTAATTTGCCGTCATCATCATCGTCACCATCATCTCACCCCCTATTAATGTATTGCATTTTCTGTGCTGCCTTTAGGCGCCTGGTGAAGGCGAACAGAAGATACGGGAGTACATGTCGTATCGACGTTCTCTGCCGGACTACAAACCAACTGAGCGACACTGCCTGTACGGCATGGATGCGGATTTGGTAAGCCTCTTCTGGCATGTTTCGCTAATCCAGGCGTTCACGGATTGTATCATAAGAATGCTCACATCACCTCTAACGACTGTCACCCCATAACTATTTGCCATGTTGCCCAATTCCCAGTCGATTTAGTCACTTTAAGTTCGCATTAACGAGGATGCCTCTGTTGAGTTGTGAGGCAGTGTTTGCGTCACTGTAAACGAAAGTCAGTCCCTGGGTCGGCTTGAGTTTCTTCATTTTTTTGTTGAACAGTTACACTCCTCTGGTCCCATTTGCCCTAAACTTTAGCTCGTTGCAAAGTTAACATTGTACATATTTATCAGTGTCTTACTTTTAGCGTTTACTTAACACTTTTTGTAGCTGTTTAGAACGTTGTTATTAACTGTAGATATTCTTGGGCCTAGCCACCCACGAACCGAATCTCTGCATTCTTCGGGAGAACGTGTACACAGTCAAGTAAGTGAGGAGTTTCGTGTCTTGCGCCTCGATCATCACCACATCTCCTGCCTTTTTAAATCTCCCACTCGATTCATTCCTGTCTAAATAAGTCCCGCTGCTTTCGTAGCTTAAATGAGTGGACTTATTTTGCCTGCACAAGATTAAATCGCAAAGCCTCGACAGATGGCCAGAAATTGGGTATTTTTTTAGAGTGGGCAGTCGAGGGTCTGGCCAGGCAGCTGTCATCTTCCCAGCCCTTATCGGTTACCACGCGCACTTCACTCTGTTGCACACTTTCCCCTCTACTCCCCAACGGTAGTTCAAAGGTCTCAATCTCTTATCACGTCTTCCAACCTCCAACTTGCATCTTTCCCCCTCGCACTGCGTACGCGACGAGCGACCTGTCTTTGAAACCTCGGCTGAGCAGTCAGTTTGACGAGGTTGGCACGACCGTTTGTTTTCCCACCAGACATGGTGTGTCGTTGTGGGGCGTATTTCTGGAAGCCAATGACTAGTTACATGTGGTAACCAATGAAAAACTAGCTAATTGGGGAACACAAAGAAACGAATCGTGATCGAGTAGGCCTTTTCAGTCAAGGTCATGCTGATGAATATTTGCTGACACGCCACTGCACCTCGGCATTCCCTCCCTTGTACTAAAAATAGGCTGATTAGTTGACTTTCCAACTATACTTCCAGTTGACAAAGGTCTTATCGCCTAACATAATGTCACGACTATCTCTATTCTCCAATCCAATGACGACGACGAATTCCTCGTCACAATCCGCCACCATTTCTGTATGTGTTTTGGGGTGCGGTTTCTTTCAACTAGTCTTCGAACAACCTTCTTGTTAACCTGCCTTGTGCCCACACAACAACGCAGCAAAACTTCGTCAAGCGAATTTTCGAACGGATGTGCGTGTATCTCAAGCAGCTTGGCCGTCTACCGGTTCACGTCGTGTGTAATGGACTCAACTGATGGTCATAGGAGTCCTGGAAAGTTCAAGCTCTGCGTCTCAGGTCGAAGGAGCCTTCCACAACGCTTGCACATCACTCTGGGGTCTCCAACCTCGCTGATTGGCTACTCGTAGCGCCAAAGGACGGAGAGCAGACATGCGATGACAGGCACATTGCCGTGCATTCACCCATGGATACGAAGGACTTGCGTGTGTTCAATTAGCACTTGTGAATAGAAGCCAAGGTAATCATGATGGATACCACTCACACTCTTCTGCTGACAGTCCACTGGACGTGCCTCAAGGAAGCGTTAAATGACGTCTCCCATAAGGGAGTTTTCAAAACGTGTTCTTGCGTTGACCGATCCGGCCACACACGAACCAGGGGCATGTTGGAATCTCATAGATCATAAACCAAAGTCTACGCTTTGTCGCCTGTCGATTAATCTGGAGTTTCTTATACTCAACTTTCGACAGAACGGCTTACTCATTTCGCTTCCAGCCGTTCTCTTTCAGCCTTGGTGTTGATTGGTTCTTTTTTTCGCTTTGCATTGCAGATCTCCGCGTCCACAGGACATCCCCTTCTGCCTCATCCACCTCTCAGTCCTGCGCGAGTACATCGAGCTGGAATTCAAGTGTCTCGAGGTGATCATTCTAGCTCTTTACACCTTTTAAAAAACCTGCAATTCTCCTGTTAGGACCTTCTTGCCAGTAGTTAAGTTAAGGTACCTCCCTGTGATCTCTGCCGCAGTTACGGTGCCCGGCGTGGCGTAGAAGTGTTGTGGTTAGTGAGGATCCCCGCGCATGTTATTGCCACATCTCCCTTCTAGTCCCAGTTATCGTTTCCGTATAACCTGGAGCGCATAATCGATGACTGGATCTTCCTCGGCTACCTCCTGGGGAACGACTTCATTCCGCATTTACCCAACATGCACATCCACGCTGAATCCTTGACTACGTTGTGGGATGCCTACCAAGTCGTTCTTCCTCAACTAGATGGTATGCTTTGTGTTTGCTCTTGTCTTTTTCGCATCAAGCATTTATGGCACTGGATAAGCTCGTTCTAATGTCTACCTCATTCTGCGCCTTTTTTAGGCTATCTGCATGATTTTGGGCAACTCAATCTGGAAAGATTTCATGTCCTTATCTCGGAGTTGGCTAAGGTTAGTGATAACTCGTGTTATTGCCTCGCAAACGCATTCCCGAATTGCTTTTTTCCTACTTCTTTGTGCAAAGTACTTGTCGTGTTCAGCACCTGTTACGTTTGCCCGTAACAGAGAGAAGACTACTCAAATAATGGTACCAGATCTCTTGTTGACGCTAGCACCAACCTTCCCACGCTAATTCAAGAACAAGGCCAGAGCTCGTGTAGAGAGCTTTAATCGCGTCAGCCACGTGCATAGCCAGTTGTCAAAAATGAAACTAATTCAAGTCAAGGTTGACCTTGACCTGGTAAAAAGCGCCATAAAACACATGTTTGAGAACCAGCGTAAATAGTGCCAAAAACCAACGATGAGCAATCTTGGGGTATCGTGGATCCCCAACAGCACCTTGCTTTGTTGACCTATTTTTGCCATTTTTTTTCAAGCAACCACACCATTGCATCCTCCATGTTTTACCGCCAGACAGAAATGTGTGGTGTTGTTAGGGTGTGAGAAGGAAGACAGCCTACTACTGACAGAAATTCAGGTGAAGAAACGCATACGTATCTATGCGGAGTCGTTTTTTTTCAAACTGACCGATGCGATACCTAACACCTATGAGTTGGTCACTACATGCCCTGTTTTCAATTCTTTGTTCTTACTCGTTAACTTGTCGTGGGCTCTAAACGCCATGAGAAACTGGCGCCAGTCGGACAATTTGAGCGAAATCCTGGCAAATGCTGCGAATTCGGTGAAACCACCGCCAGAGTTCGGACAGGGAGTTACGTGTCCTCGGCCAGTTCCCCTCAGTCTGTATCTTTTCGAGTTCACAGGCAATAATTTACCCAGGATACTTCTACACTGACATATTTAGTGGAAAGGGAAATCTCCCATCGACTGATTTCTGTAAAGCCAGTTTTTGTGATTGTTGCAACCTAAAATCACTAAACTATATTGATCTGCAAAAAGAAGGAGAATTATCACCCGCTGTGCCGTTCCGTTAATTTATGAAAGAGGCCTACCGAAAGACGTATGTGTCGGGAGGGTTCAGCTGACGAGCTATCACCAAATCCAAGACCAAGTCGTTGTGTTTCACATACGAGCTTCGTAAAACAGTTTCTGGAATGTATTGAATCTACCGAGTGAGCACCTCCAATCGCTGCTTTGGAGCGACAACGGAATGCATAGAGGTGTGAGATGCAATCTTCCAAGCTCTGAACCGCTGTACTGCGGAAGTGAAACTGGTGTTTCCAGCATCACCATTAGCAACAAGGAATGGGTTGTGCCCGTTTTGTGTGCTGGTGAAGGACTGTCTAAAAGCTAATTTTTAAACTGCGCGTGAAGCAACTGGTGTCGGGGAGCGTTTGAGGTTGAACGGATCCCCCAGGTCTATCCAGGTCGAAATTCTGCCATCCGCGCGTTGATCATGCAGCTCCGTAGCACTTTTGCGTACAGATATTTGCTCAAAGTTTAACTTCACCCATGCGGCGTAAAATATGGCATCATTTCGTGTTGAGTAGTATTGTGTCAACGTGACGTACCAGTGATTCAACATGTGGGCACTTTGTTTGTTATCTGATTTTGTAAGGAACCAATCAGCAACCCTGTCGTTTTAGTTCGACCTGAACTGGTTTGAAGACAGGGCGGCAGACCAGCGGTGGATGCAGGGTAAGCACGGGGCCCGGATGGCGAGAGAGTTGGAGCAGCTGGGCAAGGGCAGCGCCAAGTCAAAAACCCCACCTTTGGCCGCTGCCGAAGCCATTGCCCCGTTTTTCGGTGCCTGTGATGACGCCGTCCCGCAGGACTGCGCGCTGGGGGATTCCACCAAGTCGCCGCTTCCTACTGGCAGCAAAGACAATGTGGACACGGAATTGGCCGAGTTCTTTGGCGAACTGACTGCTGAAGGCTCCGTCAACAAAGAAGAGTCACATGAAGGTGGGTTGGAATGACGGCGTTCCATCAGTGCTGGTAGTTCTTTCAGGAGCGATGTACTGTTCAATCAACAAAACCCACTTATAATTAAGCTCAATTTGTCTGGTTTTGATCAGTTTTGCTGTAGTCTAACCACTGAAGTAACTACCTCTACCCACTGCATGAGTCCTTCAACTAACTGGCTCATTTTAGCAGTCGAAGCCAGTGTCTTATCTGATGGCGAAGGCGATGATTCCGAAGACAGTGAAGAGGACTCCCAGGAGGATGAGGAGGAGGAGGAGGAGGAAGGGGATGGCGATTTGGAAAACCTGGGTGAGATCTGGCACGACAAAAACGGCGACTCCGTCAATGCATTTTCCGCAGATGAAGACTTCGACGAAGACGCCGTTGCCTACCGCATGCACCGGCAGTATTACTACGCGGAGAAACTCAAAATTGATATCCGCGGGGAGTCCAAAGCAGTCTCGAAGGACTTTGTGGAGGCAGCCTTGCTTCCGATTTGTCGAGAGTACGTCAAAACGCTCCAGTGGGTGCTGGATTACTACTTCACCACTGTCGTCGACTGGAAGTACTTTTACCCCTACCACTACTCGCCCTTCGCTTCTGATCTCGTCATCTTTACCAAAAGATTCATCAAAGGTGGCGTGGATTATGACAATCGCGAAAACTGGGCCGGCTTCACGCCCAACACGAAACCCCTGCTCCCGTTTGAACAGCAGATGTTCATTATGCCACCCTCGAGTGCAAGCATCCTGCCTCCGCCTTACCGCTGGTTGTTGGCGACTTCGGGAACTCCAGTGTCGGAGTTCTTCCCGGAAGACTTTGAGACCGACATCAACGGCAAATTGGCTGAGTGGGAGGCGGTCGTGCTGATTCCCTTCATCGATGAGGTAGGCTTATGGTGCTCACTCGTTTTGTAACCATTACATCATTATTTGTACGAACGTCGTCATTTTACGTTGCCTGTCAAGCCCAGTTAACCAATACAGCAAACTAAAAACAATCTTTTTTGCTATGCTTATCGCAGAATGGGACCTTTACTGGGTCGTGGAGTTTCAGTATAAACGAAACTAATAATTTTCGTTTCAGGCAAAGATGCTTGCTGCTATGGCCCCGTGTACCCAACACCTCTCGCCCGTGGACGCAAAGCGAAACGTCCATCGAGGTCACTTGCTCCTCCTGGCAAAAGACAGGCCTCGCTGCCTGTCCCCGGGGCTCGCCTTTGAATCCCTGTTGTCGGAGGAGGTCGACGGCGAGTTCTTCCGTGCCCACGTTCTGCGCGACTCGAAGCGATGCAACGAGGTCTACTGCAGTCTGCCTCGCCGCATCGACCCCAGCTACCCAAGCCTTTCACGGATCCCCTTCACGTTTGAGGTCAAGCGCGTCGGTGTGCATGTAGGTGCACAGCATCCAGTCCCGTCTGGAAGTCATTTTCATTGATGCGCGCACTACTATGTTTTCCCGTGTGTTGCTTCGTGGTGTTTCGTCCAATTGCGAAATCGTTTGATTCGTGAAATTTCATTCTCTGCTGGTTCATCGATCAATTTGACGACGTGTGCGGCAGTTCGCTGAATACCCGGACTGTCGTCACGTCTCGCTAGCCAGGCGGTGCCTCTTTGACCTTGAACCACGCAGCTCCAAAGACGCAACCGGAATTTCCACCGGTTACAGTGAATTCATGCAGCCTCTGTTTAAAATTAAATGAAATGCGGTCTGTTTTTGATGGCCTTTTGACCGATATATTCGTTGAAGGTAAAAGTATGCGAGTATTCGCTAGTAGAATCTCGATTCTGCAGATACCGTGATGTTTCACCCATCATTGACTGATCACAGTGTCTAAAAAGTTGACCCAGTGTGTGTGCTCGTAGTTTTGCCGCCTCTTATTTGCTCCGGGGTTTGAGCACTGCATCAAATTGACCCGTGTTCACCCTTTTAGACGTTCTCTTTCCCAAGCAAATCGGAGAGTCTTCTGCTAACCGTGGATCATCCGGCCGGCCGGACCGCGCTTGAACCAGACAGTCTCAAAGTCTTGGCCAGGCGCTATCTGGGCCGGGCCGTTGCCACTGGCTGGCCGTACTCGCGTTTCGTCACACCGATAATCATAATGGACGAAGAAGAAATGTAAGCGTAAAAGGGATTCCTTGTTTGTTATTTTTTGAAAACACCGATGGCAAGGTGAGCTACTGCCGCACTATGTCACAGCCACGCTATTGCCGATGGCAACGAATCCTTGACGGCCCTTTTCTTCTGCCCAGATGGGAGGTCAGCACACAGGAAAGTCGAACGTCATCCTCTCGAATCGTCAACAGAAGCGCTCTCCGTCGGCTGGATGAAAGCGATCCGGAGTTGCCCTTCTGGGCGTCCGTGCGTTGGCTTCGCTCCCAAGCTGGTTGGACCGTCAACCGACTGAAGGATCGCTGTGCGATCACCTTCGCGGCAAGCCAGCCGCGCGCTGCGCTTATCTGCGTCCCCACCAGTGCTTCCATGTTCACCCTGGTGGTTCCGGACAAGCACAATGGAGTGTGAGTTGCCACCTCTGATTCTCCTCCTTGTCGTACCTAGGCGTGCTCCGACGGGGTGTCCGTTGGCGTGTGGTGTGTGGGCACATTCAGACGTATTTGTCCAAGCATTTAGGATGTGGACACGCGTCGCCGTGGCCGATACGCCACCAGCCGAAGCCGTAAGTGATCCTTCTCGAGTAAGGCCACCTTTTCACTCTCCCACTAGCCAACCCTCTCACTTTCGTCTGCGTCCCCTGTGCACGCGTCTTCCCACCATCACGAAGCAGACAACCTTTGAGCCCGCGGGTTGTCGGCGCGGCGGAACTCGGCCTGCCAACAAGCAGTGCCTCACGGCCGACGCGAACCAAAGTCTCCGACTGGGCCCCAAACTCTCCTTGGAGATCCTCGATCTGACCGTCGACGCGGAGAGTTCGTCCCTGGAGCGCTCTTTTGAGGAACTTTTCCCGTCGGCTTCTAATGTGGTGATTTTCGGTGTGAAGAGGAAACGTTTCGGGTTGTTGGGGGAGGTGAGTTCGCCGCTTCGGTCTTGTGTGTGTGTGTGTGGTTATTTTTCCTGTATTCAAGTTTCTGAAATGCGTCAGTCAGGGCTAGATGGATCAACTGCAGCTGGTTGGTTTCAAACTAATCGATAATTGAGGTACTGCCAGGTACGATTGATAGGGATTTTCGGTTTAAGCACTGTAATTGTGAATCCTCCCCTCAATGGTAAGTGTTTTTGTGTACGAACACTCAGTCGCTCTGAAAGTCGAAGTCGCCGTTATTATTGGTTGCCACTATTCCATGCATTACGAGGTGTGTCTAAGTGGATTGACAAAAGACCTTTTTGTTATTCAGATTGCCGGCATCGCGAAAAACGGCAAACTCTCGGTACAACTTTATCCCGATCCACCTCTCGCCAAAGATCCGCAAACCGTCTCTCTGACTGCTCTGGTAAGCAACTCCTTCTTGCGCGTTATCTGGCCAATCGGACGGACACCTTGTTTCAAGATTGTCATTTCACAGAGCTTCGTTCCCCGGCTTTAGCGGCTTCGCCTGGACCTCGCCGTATAATCGGGCTGCCGATTGACTCGACTTAACTGATTTGGCAATTTGTTTAAATTTCAGACAGCCACTGCTAGCAAAAGGAGCTCAGTTACGATATTCCTCTCCTCTCACACTCCTTGCGTGTTTAAGTAGATTCTTTCATAAACCGGACTGGTTGCAGCCTGTTTTGCAGCAGTATCGAAGAAACTCACTAAATATTTGTAAGACTTCACGTGTATTAAATTGCCCAGGGCTGCGCAATCTCTCATAAATGTTGAAAGCTAGTCTAATATGGAAGTGCCCTTTGAGAAGCCTTCAAACGGTCGATTGGGGTCAGTCCGCTTGGAATGTCGATGTATGACAGCCTGTTTTGCAGCGATGTCGAAGAAAGTCACCAAATAAGTAAACGAAATTGCCTTGAACAGCAACCCTAACCCCCGTAATTGCAGTGACTACTTTCACGCCTGTTTCACTTTCCACGTGCTTCTAGGAGGCGGACGAATTGAGCTACCTGACGCTGTCGGAGATGTCGCGCGAGCTCTGCCTCACGGTGCACATCATTCGCCGTCTCGTCGACGATTTCATGGTCCTCGTCCCGTCGCCCACCCCTGACGGCGGCAAAAAGGCCAAAGAACGACCAAATCGTGCCAACATTGGCTTGGGTTTGCAGATGCACCGCAACTTTGCTGCTGTAAGTGTTCATCTTTTGGGCATCGTGTCATTGTCATGTTGCCCTCTACTTGTCCCCCGTTTCTGCAAATGCAATTGGCGCTCCACTTGGCCTGCGAAGACGAGTGTTTTCGCCAAAGGGCCATTCTCGTTTCTTCCATCAATACAAAATAATTGAGTGATAATTAAGCTCTTCTGTAGTGGACAACTTGTACTACTTCACAAGGCTACTGGTTAGCAGGCTGTAACAACCCGAGAACAGAGGCGACAGCGGACACGACTGTCTTTTTACCGTCACTCCAGCCAATTGCCCTTGTGTGAGTAACAGCCTATTAGTAACATTAGCCAATGAAAATAGGGCTGAGTCACTGACACCGTCAGGTCAGTAAACAGGCATCACTACTCACGCCCGATCGCTGGCACTCCACTACACTTCTCAAGCCATTGTTTGAGTCTACCAGGTCGCAGGTAGTTTTTTGCCGTATGCTGACCAGTCCAACTTGATCGCTCATTTGGTAATCCCAGGTTGTCGGTTGGTCGCGGTTCTCCCAGCTGAAGAAGACGTGGGTTTACTCGCGCCGTGTTGTGGACGCAATAGCCAAGTACTACGAGCTGTTCCCTGAGGTCGTCGACTTCATCGGCCAATGGGATCCCATGAGCGCCATCCCCGAGATCAGTGCTGTCTTCCCCACGGACACTTTGTGAGTTCACACGCCGGTGTGTGTGTGTGTTCTTTTTTTGCGTCGTAAGTCACACCACTTCGTGGAAGTCACTCGGTTGCAATCTCCTCCACCTAGCCACCGTTTCACCCAACTGCGAACGTTCCTTCGGGTGGAGGTGAAGAAGAACCGGACCGTCACCAACGCCGACGCCCCACTGCTGGACAAGGCGGGTCTCGTGGTTGTGGAGAACTCGCTCCTCCCCGGCACTACTCCACCCGCTTCCACGGACCGCATCGTCGTTGAAGTCGCCCCATGCGATTTGTTTACGGTATGTCCAAAACACGCGACGACTGAATTGTGGACGGGTGGCCGCCTAGTCATGCGCAGAAGCGACTAACTCGTTGCACTCCACCTCCCATCTAGGTCCTGCCTGAAGGAGGTCGCCTTGTTCCTCGGTTTTACATTGACTGGTTAAAAACCTGGGAGAAGGAAATCGATCGCTTTAGCCTCCTGGACAGGGTTATCTACGTGGGACCGCAACACACCATGTTTGGACTGGGCGGTTTTATCATCGGTGTCTACCCAATCCTGGGGCAGGAGACTATCGAAGTCATGTTCGATCGCGAGATCGAGAATGGCATTTCTATCAGGTGAATTGTTACCTCTTTCAGGATATCAATAACTTTGGTTATCTACGTCCCTGCAATGCAGGCCTCAGGGTTTAAATTTTACGCCACCTCGAAGGTCTATCTGTGTAGACAATGCCTGTGGGTGCGACCCTGAGATCTGTTGCGGTTCAAAGGCAGCTCTGAATGTTCCATGAACGCACATGTGCTGTCACTAATCAAGAAATGGGCTTGAAATTGGGACACACTGAAGGAGTACAGCACCCTTTAGGTGTACTAATTCAAAAATGGCGCTCAGCGAGCGAATTTTGCCAGTAAAACAACGGACAGCCAATCAGTGTGCCACTGCATAATTGGCGTTATTTTGCAATTTCTCAAATGCTCATCTACCATGTTGGGTACTTGTGGAATACTACTGAGTTGTACTTCACATTACTAGTCACCCAGTTAGGTTTATTTACCGTCTCCCGGCTAATGCCTAATAGCTGTTTTTGTTCTTCTTCTTCTCCTCTTCACAGGGGCTCGTCGAATCGGTGTGCCGTAGTTGATCCCGTCCACCTCCTCCACTATCCTCGTTTCGCTCAACCGGATGCGTCCTCAGTGACGATCGAGGGCAAGGTTGGCGACGCTGCGAAGCAGCCACCGCCACGTCCAGCGGCCGTGAAAGGCCACGCGGCGACGCCTCGCGCCTCCAGGCGGAAACATCCGCCTTCTGCCAGGGACGTGATGGTGGGCCTCTTGCCGCAGGAGTGGCTGGATTCACCGCCGATTGACTTCGCCTCGTGTTCTCAGCCGAAGGAGCCGAAGAACAGGAAGAAGGCCTCTCCGAAGAAGGAGTTTGGTTCAGAGAGGAAAAGCCCTCCCAAGTCGCCGCCTTCGTCGTTGTCGTCACAAACCAACAAAGCTTCGCCAGCCGCTGCGGCTACGCAGGCCGTTCCACCCAGATTTGTAAGACATCCAGTGGGGAAAAAATGACGGCATCTTGGGCCAGGGTTTGAAGAGTGATAGTATTCGACACTAATGCTCTCTAGGCGTCTTCGTGCTAGCCAATTATGTTTCCAGAACTCGTAAATTTGAGCTCTGCATTGTAGATCCTCGTGTCAAGCTCTCTCCCGTTTCCCTATTACTGATTGCTATGCATCACCATCCCTAGCCCGACCGTTCCCTTCTTCACATCTACGAGGTCTTTGACATTGACCGGTTTTTGGTGCTCTCGTTCGCTGAAGTTTACTGGCTTGTCGAGTTTATGTCGGTTATTCTTAAGAAACTGCGGTTTTCCAAACGCACACTAGTACTATGTTGTAGTGAGTTATGATTTACGGCTCCATTAGTGATTTGATTGGTTTGCGGGGCTGGACGGTTCACCAATGCGGTTCGTCACTGGTCTGAGGGTTCATTGCAGATTTTCGCCTAACAACCACCCCGCTAAACTTTAGCTGAAGCAGCAGCTTCAAATGCAACAGGCAAAGCCTCTTCGGCAGCGTCACCGACAGCCGCCTAATTTAATGCAAATGCCCGTGGAACAGCCGCCTGAGGCGAGTTGCCAACCGCAGTTTCAATCGCCGCCGATTCACTGCGTTGGCGGCTACGAGGCTCAGCCGCCGAGCTTCCTTCCTCCGAGTGAGTTGTCACCCGTCTGCCTTAACTAGATGTGGCACGCTGTTGCTACTAATTGCCTGTTAGTGGCTCGTTTGCACAAATCGCTCTCAATTTAGCAACCTGGCAGGCAACGCTTTCTGTCTGCGAGCCAAATGTAGACTCGGCGCCTCTCATTACCGACGGAGGCATGATGGAGTACTGTCTGCCACAGTCCCCGCCTTCGCAAGCCGCGGCGCCCGCACCGACGTTTCCAAGTCACCCAGCCTTGGGTTCTCGTTTTGTGCCATTAGAGGACGCCGTTGGTGGCACCTGCTTTGTCGACCTGTCCACCGGCCTGAAACTCACGCTGGCGGATCTTCAGCCGCTGCTTCTCGCAAGTCAGCAGCAACCGATGGCGCAGCCGCAGGACTACTTCACCCCACCGCAGGAGCACTTGATGATGATGATGCCTACCCCTCAGCCCTCGTAAGTAACCGCTTCGGGCTTAGGTGAAACACTTAATAATCACGACTCAAATCGAAGCAACCGAACCATCGATAGCCCTTCACACCTTCGCATAGTGTCTATCAGAACTCCAAGCGCGTCTACGTGACTCGTAATGCCTGGAGTGCGCTCTCCATTCGTTCTCTAATTTATGCGTTTTCTTTTTTTCCAACCAAAAGACTGAGCCAATACGCAGTCGACGCCTGCCCTCCGGCCCAGTTCAAGACCGAATTTGTGCCGAACCAGGTAAGCAAACGCAGTCGACGCCAATTGCGCTAGGCGACGCCTGGCAAGTCAAGTCACGGTGTGCCACTCATTGCTTTGCCGTCTTCTTCTCTTTTTTGTTAAATTCTAGGCCAGGCTTGCCTCCATGAAGCCGAAACGACAGTGATTCCGCTCATAATCGTCTCCCTCTCTCGCTCCATCCAATTTCGTTTCGTACCATGTCTTAATAAATGCTGACTATCTGTATTTTTTGTGGCTCTACTAATAAGTGACCTTTTGATACGGTCCGGTGTGCCGCCTTTGCGACACCGCGCTTCAAGACGGCCCGAGGAAAGAAGCGATGTCTTATTTTTAGATTATAAACGACGTTTTGTTGCGTGTATGGACCAGAAGCTCATTTAATAAAACTGCGTTGGAGAGATTCTTCTGCGTTGAAGGTGTCTTCCGGGTGGGTGTCGCTTCCATCGGCCGTAGCCTCCTGAGGAGCAGCCCGTTCTAGTGAATCCTTGGGATTTTGCACATGCTTATCGATTGGACCTGATTGAATTGATTGTCAGGGGCAAAATTAGCATAATAGTGATCAGCCAATCAACGCTAAGAGTCAGGGCAACGGGTTGTAGCACTAACAAGGCCCAGTTCAGTAAGAGGAGGGGGTGGCCAAAATTGTATCGTGCCACAACGAAACCACCAATTGTTCCGCACACTCAAGAGTTACCAAATTTCCCCAGTTTTCCAAGAGTAAATTAACTTTATTAGTGCTGAGAGAATCGTGCGCCACTTGTCTGATGGTTGAATCTGGTAAACGCCGGTGATTTGAACAGTTATTTTCGCTGAATACCTCGACCTCTGATGTTGTCTAAATCAGCCACTCACATCAGACGCCAAAAGCTAATGCCTGATATCTAACAGAAAAGTAATTCGGAGACTCCTAAGAAAGTTGGGCTTTCAGAGTCTACGTGCCTGCCGACAAAGACGCCATTTCCAGCACATCTTTCTGCTTCCTGAATTCAGGGAACCATGAAAATCGGCACTTAATATCGAATGCTAACAAGGATACGTCCTCCACCTGAGTATTCCCGCGGGTTAATACCGTTTCCTGATGGGATTATGATGGCTTGAACGGGTATTCACGGTGATCAGCCGAAACTCCACGTGGACAGTTCGACCCTCACCGCAAGTTGACTACTTGGTGGATCACAAATTGGGTGGTTAGCGGCGCCCCAGTTAGATGACGGCCGACGAACGTGCTAACTCGGCACAGTCTTGGTGCATTTGGGCGCACACGTTTTGCAAAACGCGTGTGCATGAAGTTTCACCACAGCGTAGTTTTTCGCATGTCTGAATTACACTTGGGTCGGGAGGACTTCTCAATAGAGTCAGTCATTTTGGCAGAGTTGTCCAAAAAACGGCATTTTCTAACCGTTTTGACAATTTTTTTGTTTCCAGTGCATGGGCAAAGCACTTTCTTGGCCAGTTTCGCTTTATTGATAACCAATAAACCGAAGGTGAACGCGGTGTTGTACTATTAAGGTCACAAGGTTTAAAAACAATTATTGCCTCTAGAATCTACGACCTGTTAAGTTTTGCCTTCACCTCCTACAATTTTGGAGTAAGCAAACTTGGAAAGTATCATTCAGCAAAATAATTTATTTACACGCATTGTCAGAAACATTTGAGAGCACAATTTCGGGGATGCGCGAGAAGAGGCAGCGCATCCAAGGTGGCCGCCTTTCATGGATGATTTAATAGAGCCACTTCGCGGGAACCCATTGCGGCTTCTCCAGCAGACCGTCCAGCAGTTCTTTCAGTCGGACAAAGGTCACCTCGATGTTGTCGCAGATGACAATCTTGTCGATGACGTGCCGGTAATTCCGTTCGATGTCCCGGCTGCACTCAAGTGTCTTGCGAAAGTCTTCGTCCTACGTAGGGAAAACATTGTGTCCACGTTTAATAGAACTAACAAACACTGCTTCCAAGTCTCACCTCTGCGTCCGGGACTTCGGTAGCAATACGAACCTGTCTACAGAAACGGCAGCCACTCTCACACTTAAAGCGTCATTAGTGAATTGGCAAACCTCAATCTGCGTTCGAGTTGCCATGCTCAAAGGCAGGCAAATAACCTCTGCAGTACCGCAGGACAGTAAAGTTCTAGTTTTAATGAGACAGGGATGAGGTATGGCGACTTCTGCAAACCGGATTACTATTGCTTTAGGAGTGGTATAATCTTGTGGATCGGGCCATGGGGGTGTTCTGGATATCGGTTGAGAGGTCACCTGTTGGTGTTAGAGGGAACACTACGAGGTTGAATGTTACTTCCAACCAACTACAACAACGCATCGCGAAAAACCCAACACGTTTTGGTTATTACGGAGCACAACCTCACACAAACTACTTCGCTCTTTGCTCTTTCAAATGCGAGACCCCGTTTTTGAATAAAAAGAAGGGCAAATGCTTCCGAGAAACGTCACTTACACGTCGCCACACCTCGGTGAAGCCCATGCTGCGTCCGTACTCGTACATTGCTTTCATGCAGTCACACGACGGGGCGGCGATGAGCACCACGTAGGGCATGAACTCGGACGTTCGGATCCTGTTAACCGCGCCTGGGCTGCAGTCCAGGAGGCAGGTCTTTCCCGACTGGGAGATCCTGCGCAGGGTCTTCAGCTTCGTGCCGTAGTAATCGCCGTCAGCTTCGCCGAACTACATCACATCAAAGTGGCTACTTCAGTGTAGGTTTTCGTGCTGTGGCTTACGAGAATAATGTTTTCACAAAGTAGAGCAAAGCGAAGCAAGTTAACATGTAAAGATTGGCGATTTGATGGTCGTATAATACCATAAATTGGCTGTTCCCTGCACTTCTCTCCTAGTTCGTGTTTTGGGTAATACAAGTTACGCAATTCACGTGAAATTTTGTTGTCAATAACCGCGTTAGAAGATGGAAACTTAAGCAAACAACTAGGTTGACGAATTAAAGGAAGAGTAGGTGATTGCTGGGATTCTGCAAGGATACTGCAAGAGGCCTCATCAGTAATATCTGTAACTCACGCACAAAAATGACTGATTTCATTGCAATTTACACGGACTTGTGGCGTCAATACAAACAGCAACCGTATTGGATAGCGCCATGACCTCATATAATCCGCCCTCTATGTGTTTAATGGAGAACACAGGTGCGACCGAACAAGCCAACACGGTGCGTCGGGCGCCGTCCACCTGAGTCCTCCATCCAAACTGCACCGCCCGTTATTTAGTGCTTCTCAACCATTTAAACACACACAGACGGAGGATTGGCTGAAAGTGACTTCATCAAATATGTCTGCGCCATTTACGTTATGACAGTTAATAAGGTTGGCTTAGTTGAACTTGTTTCCTCCACACCAGTGCTGGAACACTCTACAATCTCAATTCCAAAATTTTAATGTTTGTAGTTCCAAGTGAGACGTTTCAAGTCACAGAGCTGTGCTTGCCACGGAAACTAGAAAACCCGGTACTTCGTGAGTGTGCAAATATTAACTGCAGGTCGATCTTCGTGAGTTTTATGTTCCGGCAGTTAAAACTCGCCTTCGGCAGAAGGACTTTCCGAGAGAAGTTCACTGACATTGTGCGCACACAAAGTCACTCGAAGAAGTTAATTGCACCGATGACCACCAAGAGCGGTGAACCATCCGTCTATTTCCGATTTTAGTAATATCAATAACTCCCGTATCTTTTGCTATCTAAATGGACTATCTCTTCAAATGGAATTAACCCATGTTGGAGTTTGTTGATGTAGAAGAACGTGACGTGGGGTTATTGGACAATTCATAATCTGTATTTACGATGGGCCATTATAGAGTACAGTGTCATGGAAACATTTTCAAAAATGACAACCTCAAATACGATTGCCGTAAACTCTTTGCATAAGTGCCACCGCTAGATGTAAATACTTCGACGATTAATGAAGTACGTAACGGTTGTGGAATAACACAATCGTATTGATTTCCTATTTCTGGTCATAGCTGCTGGCATCTTCCACTGAAATTATCGTAGCAACTGGGTCCTAATACGGCACAAGCTCCGTTGTAATTTAAGACATCCGAAATATTGATACAGCTTTGTTCATAGTGTGTAGCGTAAGGTAGAGTTAGCTATGGTAACCTGGACTGCAGAGTGCAGACACAAGTTTTTCGGCCGTCTTCTCAGTTTACGCGCGCCCACAGGTTAGGTTTCTGCCTTCATCACGTGATCTCCACTCAACTAACAACCAATCACCGTTGTGGTGTGTGAGATGTAAGGGTCATCGTGACGACATCGGCACGGGACACTTGGATCTTAGTAAAACCGGTCAATGGACGAAGGCTTGGTATTCGGTGACCATCAAAGTACTTTTATACAGACCTAGCAGCTTGAGAGCAACGTACCTCAATAAAGTGGTTTCTTTGATAGCCATTTTGCATTTTCCTTGCACTTTCGAAGAAGAAATCAACGCCGTCCTCTTCACCTGGCAGTCTCGCCCTCGAAGTGTCTACATTAATGGAGATTGAAAATGTCAGAACGGTTCAGGAGCTCTTTTAATCTATTCCTGCTTTACCCAAACGAGGGATCTACATACAAGGAATGGCGAGTTCATAGCGATCCGGATTGTCCTCAATGAGCATATCGCGAAGCGTCTGACGTCCAACGCCTGGAGCACCCAGCAGACAGATCACGGGCCGCTGGAAGCCAGAAATCAACGCTACCTCCTCGTATACACAAACGTTTTTCGATGTGAAGGCTTCAAAGTCCTTGGCGTTGAAAATCATTTTTGTCTAGACAATGCAAAAACGAGTGTCAATATGCAGGTAGATGAACTGGGCGGTCTAGTACAATCCGAATTCTTGACATCTATCTGGGCTCCCTCCTTGCACCGCTCTTTCTGTCTGGAATCAGTATCGAAATTACGACCCAACCAATCATTTACTCTACTGGCTCTTATCTGAAATCGATTTTAAGGTCGATAGAGAGTGTAACCGGCGCCAAGCGAAGCTACCTTGGAAAAAACAGCTTTCTTAAGTCTGTCAGTTGACTTTCTGTGGTGCATGATTGCTTCAAAACTGTTTAGCAGTTTAGGCACCTCTTACTCCAATAATTTAAGGTAAGAACTTCAATTCAATGTTGAGAAAACTTAGATGTATAGCACAAGTCGAGGGATTCGGCGGCTTGCCAATGAAATAAATTATCGCTGAGTCAGCGTTCTGCAATCATATCAAGCGATGTTCTAAACCAACAGGCAGCCGACCTTTTTGGTCTTCTGATTATCTACAAGTCCCCTGAAGAAGCGGTAGTTGAAAGCACTGGCGTCGGGAATGCTTTGAATGATGGCCTTGCGTCGTTCCTGAAGGGTGTCGGAGGGAATGAGCGCGGCGTGCTCACTCGAGTCGTAGTGACGCGCCTAAATGACCAGACAAACCAACACGTGATTAGAGCTAGCGAGTGCAGTGGAAACAGACCAACAGCTCATTTTCCCCCCAAAAAATAGCTGCTAACATCGGTGGTGCTGGTGAAATGAGTCATGCCTAAATGGACTCGGGTAGGCCGTCTAGAGAATTTGAAGTGGTGTTTGTGTCAGTCAACGTTTAGTGGATTATACCTAACCTCTAATTATCATTTATCGTTCGAGCTGTCTCATCATCGACAATGACCATTCGCATCTGGCGAGGTCGCTCCATCAAATGGAGGCTAAGCTCTTACCTGCCACCAGTTAGGATCGGCCTGGTTCAGCACCTGGAGAATGTCGTAGCACCGAAACCGGAGCCCCGCCTCTTTGCAGGGCAACAGCTTGTCCTTCTCCGGTTCGTACGTGAAGAGAGCTCGCACATAAAGCTGAAAGAATCAAGGACACTTAAAATCGTGGACCACAAATTCTCCAAGACTAATTCAACAGATTGGATTTCGCTGATGTATTTTCAAACTGTGTTTTCTGATGGACTGGGCTTGCTCACAAGGGGATTCAGCTGAGGATACTGCCATTTCCAGAGTATTTTATGGCTTTGTTAGCGTGGCCTAGCTCCGACTCCCTTAAGTTTACGTGCTCACCGAAAACCCATAAACTTGACTCAATGGCAGAAAGGCACCAGAAGAAAGTATAAACAGGAGCGCAAATACCTGGGACTTGATTTTCGTGTCTTTGTGTGCAGGGATAATCTTCATTGTCACGGTGACAGGCGACTTGGCCATTTGCTCCAGTAGCGTCTCGGGGGCATCGATCTGCACTCCGTTGACCTCTCGGATGATGTCACCTTCACCCAGGAGGCCGAGCTTCTCCACCTGGGAACCGACCATCACGCGCTTCACGTAGATGTCACGAGCGTAGCCCACAGAGGCATCGTTCTCCTGGATACCAATCGTGATACCCTATTTGGGCACAAAAACACGGTAAGCACAGAGGCCCGGTAAGGTGCACATGAACTTAACAAACCTAATGAAACTGTTGTGAAGTGTTACAATTACTGCGCATCACTTCTTCTAATACATTAGTAATTCATTGCCTCTAATAATCTGTTAGGCGATTCATCCCCTTTACTCTGCGTTCCCTTGTTTGTGTGGATATGTCTCTGTATGAACACGCCTGCCACCATAAGTCATACACGACCTTGTGTGAACTGAACCTTCTAATAAACGGATGTCTGGACGTCTTATTCCTTCCTGAGAGTCTGCGCCGTAAAGGTGACGGTTCGAAACTTGTTTTGGGTTAAAAGTACGTACAACAGCACACTTGGATTGGATGTGAGTGGTAATTTTCGAGACCACAGAGCAATAGTGTCCTAGGTACATTAGCTGTCTGAATTGACGTAAATGTTTACTTAAAAGAGAATAGTTAAGGAAACAAACTTTAACAACGTATTGTTTAACTTGAGCTGAACGCCAAAGGTCAAAGCTATAGCGAAATATTTCCACAGCTGACTCAAAAGTGGTGCAAAGGAACAGAGCCTACCAAGTCTTCAACGTTTCGCTTAAAACTGATCAGCCGTAGAGCACTTTCCTCGACCGGTTTCTTTGGAAGGCCTTCACCACCTCCAGTCAATTTCACACCGTTAGCTGTGCCGTTTCGAGCGTAGAGTGAGGTTGTACTCTCTCCCAAAGCCGGATTTAAGCTGCCTGTCTTCCGCTGCAATGAGCCGTTTTGGAGGTCTTTGCGACTCAACGTGGAAACGCCTTTCAGAGTGTCGTTGTAAACGGCCTCTGGAAGGTTGGTTACTGTGCCATCAACAGCAAAGAGGACTGAGGGAAGAGTAGGCGTGAGGAAATTCTCTGTGGCAATCTCCTGGATGCACGTCCCAAGGGCTTGAACGTGGGGGCTCGACAGTATCTGAAAGAGTTCTTCAGCTTCCGAGGGCATAGGGAAGTAGCCATCGGAAACGGCTACTCGAAGATCCTCACAGACAGTCTCCATCAATCCTAACGCCACGCAGTCCTCTTCGCCCACATAGTACGTATTTACAGCCTTAATACTTGAATACACCTAGAAAAGTTGTGGTGTTGAAGAAGTGCACTTAACAACGCAATGGTACAGACTTGTTGGTCCGATACTCATATTTAGCTTTAATAATGCTACCAAAATACTAATTAAAAATACATGCTCGACAAGGGAAATACAAGACAGTCCATGGAAATTTAAAAATAAAACGCCCATATTGTTTGCAGAAATAAACATAGCGAATCAAAATCATATTTGAGTATAGAGTCTCAATATATGCAAAAAATTCCGTACAGAACTGTAATTTGTGCACTAATTTTCCGAACTTACTGTTAACAATGATTTCAGAGCAGGCATAGATAAAAGCCGATAAAGTTCCTCAGCGTCTTCTGCATCTTCAGCCGCTGAAAACACTCGACGAATATTCTTTTTAGCTTTTTTTAAAGCATCTAAAATTTCGAATTCATAAACACACTTACCATTCAATAAAACCATCTTGCGACATTAAATTAAGCACACGCGTACAACACAAAGTCCTCTGCAAGCATGACTTCAAAAAATCAGATATTTACTTATTTTGACTTTTAACTCAGCAAAACGAACATTACTTGTCGGATGCAAAAGTGTTACAAAATAACCATGGACTGTCACTTCCGCATTAGTTAATTTATGGTACTAGGATATTTTATTGTTTTCGTAAATGTCAACTAGATTGGACATGACACCTAATTTTTTTAGGAGGTTCTTTATTTAACAGTTAAATATTTTATTTTGATATGTATATGCTTCGAATTAATATTAAACAAAATTTACTGAATAATTAAGGCGAATTATTAGAACTCAGACTTGTTTTAGCCTAAATAAGGCCTAACATTCACTCCTCTTATCTCTAAGCAGCTTGTCATATGTGTAAACTTGACTTTGGGTCCTACAAATAATAGTTCTTAGAGGACAATCTTTGTGGATAGATTATTTCAGTGTGCGAAGCATGAAGGTAGAACAAAGGCCGACATATTTTAAATGAAATTGCTACCAAAGAACACTACTATTTACTTTAAGGAATACTCTAAGATACTTAGTAGTAATTTGCATTTCGTGCTGGCATAATATTATGAAAAAAGGCAAATACGTAACATAAACAGGCCGCAATGCTTGCCAAAAATATTTAAAAGGCCGTTGACATTGGTCCTCCTGATTCTGAGGCACACAGCAGTCGAACATTTACTGCCTAAATGTACCTGTATTTGTTTATAGTTGGCATGTAGAAGTTGCATGAATCTCACATTAATAAAAAAGAGACAAAAACACTTTTCCAAAATTATTTGCCTACCATTAATCAGCGGCTGATTGGAATATACTTTTTTTTGTTCAAGATGTATGTACTGTAATAAATTTCTCATCGTTTAAAAACACTGCATTGTTAAATCGACATCCTTTTTGCCCCATGTTGTTCATTTATTCTGAACGTCGTTCCATGAGACTTGATTTCTGATGAATATTTATTTTGCCGCATTCGCTTAATTCTTGATTCAAAAGCGAATTTTTTTCAAACGAACGCCTGTGTATTTGAACGTGTCCATTTTTGGGGTTAATTTCAAAGTTTTTATCCACGTTACATGCTCAATAAGATCAATTTATGCATTTAACCATAATTATTAGGAAATTCTCGCTATGTTGTGGAATCACTATTAATATCGTGATGTTCCAGACCGAAATTTGCTCTATAATCACAATGGGGTTTTGGCGACTGCAAAGTGTTTTATTTACACCTTCGGTTTCAAGATATATGTAGAACTGAATGCAAAAATTTGACTTGGTCATGTTAATAGGTAACTGGCATAATATCTAAATACAAGTAGCAAAAGTTTGTCATCTTAATCTCCAAGAAATATAATATCAATTAGTCATCTAATGTTAAACCTAATGTTTTCCTTGTGCGAAGCGACAAGATGACCACTTCAATGTTTAAATAATGTATGAATAAAGCAAATGGTTTTTTATGTGTTAATAAAGCAAAGTGGATGTTAGCATCAATCAAAAAATGCTAGTTATTTAGACCTTTGTTTTAGCTACACAATTACTTCAACCCGGCACTTTTTGAAATCTCGGTTCAGCACGCATTTTGTGTGAAAGTAAGCGGGTTGCTTTTGTAGCGTTTCATGTTTTGCTTGTGATTAATTGTATCGATATATCTGCGGTTAAATGTACGTAGAAGTTTTTTTAGCGTCTTGATTTCGCAAATTATCAAAATGCATATCATCGCTTGTTTGCCTGTATCTGAATGTAACCATGCTGTCTGCATAAAACGTGCTGTTACAGATATAACCTTTCGCGAGTTTTCTCAAATATTTCGTTCTGCGTTATAACGTGTAATATTTTAGGCTCTTTGGGCTTGTGTTTAATCAACTTAATGTTTGGTACTCTGCTCCATAGTTGCAGTCCACGGGGCCTTTTTGATGGTCTGATTTGTATTCTGATTTTTTCTGCTTCGTCTGGTTTACTTATGGGACTTTTTGCATTAGATGGCTGTTCTTCAGAAGGAAATGAAGCTGTTTGGCAAATGGCAGTCAGATAACATTAGCCTACCAGAATTCGGTTTGGTCGATCACATCCAGATCAAAGCACAGCACCCCCTTTTGCCACACACTGCCGGGCGTTACCAGGTCAAGCGTTTCCGCAAATCGCTTTGCCCGATTGTTGAGCGTGTATGCAACTCGCTGATGATGCACGGACGAAACAACGGCAAGAAAATCAAGGCCTTGAACATTCTGAAACACACGTTCGAAATTATTCATATCCTTACCAACGAAGTAAGTTAACTTGTACATTGAACTGATTTTGTTATTCACCAAGTTTATAGCTTCTTACCGTTGTCTTTTTCTACAGAATCCCATCCAAGTACTTGTCAATGCCATCATCAATAGTGGTGCTCGCGAAGACTCCACCCGTATCGGACGTGGCGGTACAGTGCGTCGCCAAGCCGTCGATGTCTCCCCACTTCGACGTGTTAATCAGGCGATCCACCTTCTCTGCACCGGTGCTCGCGAAGCTGCTTTCCGTAACGTTAAGACCATTTCTGAATGCCTGGCTGATGAGCTCATCAATGCCTCCAAGGGCAGTTCAAATTCTTATGCCATCAAGAAAAAGGATGAGCTGGAACGTGTTGCAAAGTCTAACCGATAAACCCCATACTTTAACAATACAAACTGGATAAAAAGAATTTGCCTTCTCTTTTACTGTTGCACGATAGGGATGAACCCTGCCTAGTACTTGTAATACAACTATTCGGCTTATACCTGTCTTACATTTTCTAGTCATGTCGTCTAAAGTTTGACATTGTTTGTGAACGCTTTTCCCAGTTTCTGCTAATGGCTACGAGGACAGCCCAAGTTTTTCGGAATACGCATAACCTAAGTCGTTCATCGTGATTTTTACCTGAAACAAAGATCGTGTTCTGTCGCCACTGGTGACAATTTTGCGTGTTCAATCTAGTGCATTTCTATTGGATTTACCAACCGTGAATCTTGCAGAATGAGTCTTAGAGACACTTGTTTCCCACCTATTCTAAAGTCGCAGAATTATCCCTGGTCATAGTAGTTTTTACCTCCCACGGGGTGTTTTCAGCTGAGCTCTGATTTGTGTAGCGTCAAGAGTAGAACTGGATCTACACAGGCACTTTACTGTTCGTTCCTGGCCATGCTTGAGTTTGTGCTATCTAGGCGGCCTCAAGGATCTCACGAGTTTACGAGGTGACGCAGTCGTGGTGTTGTCTGTGGTTACACTTTACCATGTTTGTCTACTTCTGGCTCGATTGTTTGAACGAGAACGGGTCCAGAAGTCGAACAATACGACTGATTTACGGTTCTTACTACTGGTGCAATAGGGATGCTGTATGAGCCAGCTGCTTTTTAGTAACGCATAATGAGGTGTGCGTACATATTGGCTGGCAGGTACTCAAAGCGTTGGGTAGTAAAAAAACTGGACACCTGTTTGGCATTATTTCTGATGGAGGTGTTCAAGTTACATTCAGCAGTGCCTCTCAAACAGTCAAAAAACATGTTGGACCAGAGTTAGTCACGACTTTGTTTTGTGGGACATTGGCAGGGCGGATTGGTTGTGCTCTTAATCAAGTGAGAAGACCTCCGTGTTATGGGGAAGGTGAGAAGTAATCTGGATCAAAAAATCGTGGGGGTGTTGTGTGTCGCGGTGGCACTTTTTGCAGTTGCTGCAGCCCCCTTGGCTTCTTCCCTTCTTAGAGCTGTAAGAACACAAGCAATCACATGTTAGTCCGCGTGTGAACTAAAATATGGCAATTCAGGAAGGAACACAGGTGTAGAGACTTCTCCTAACCCTTAAAATCGTTTTAAGTAACACTATACTCTGGGTTTTTAAACATCTTTTGGCTTCGCTGAACCAGGTTATCATTCTATCAGCCGCAAAGGCGTCCATTTTATTAAGAACTGGAACTGCGTCTTTCAAGTGATCGATTTCTACCGATTCGCTGACAGCTTGTGTTGTGCAAATTTTAATCTTCGGCCACATTGACTGATGGGTTCTAAATATTTGTTGTCATCAAACGACAACAAGATGTTTGTTCTCATCGCGTTCGGCTTTTCGTGAATTCTTGAATTAGGACATTGATTTCCCTCACCAGCCCGTCTTCTCTGTAACTCCTGGTTCCCTCTATTGATTGTTCTGACGCAAACAAGCCACGACTTACCTCTCCTGAATCTGCCAGTCCTACGATGTTTACCTGCTCCAATCTTGTCAGAAAGCCGGACCTAAGCAAGCGGCCATGGTGAAATCAACAGGCTGTGGATGCTTACCTGTAAGTAGGCGATTGTTCTCTGCTGCTGGCAAATTCTTGTTCGGAGTATATCAACAATCTAACAATTTGTGTTTTCTGGCTCGTAGAGCTTACCTTATTGTCCGTCGATTCGCCTGCTTGGAAACAAATTGTGATTGGTTAATTGAAGCGATTTAATTAGCGATAAGGAAAATCAATAGTAATGTTACCTAATGCCAGTCGGGCTTCTGAACGTCTGAGACAATTTAGGACATTTAGGTACTGCTCGGTGGGCACGCTCTTTGCCAACTGCGCCTGCGAATGTAAAGCACGCGCTACTTAATAAATACAAGTAGGCTAAAAATTAGGACAATCGATTGGCTCACATTCAAACAGGGAATATTTGCCTATACCGTTACTCTGAACTATCGAGAATGGAACTACGGTCACAATGCATTGAGATATACACAAGAGCTTGCTTAAAATGTGTATCGTCGGTTATTGCTGCCTCGCCGTTTTCTCCCTTCTCTTCCAAAGATGTCCGAATTCACGTAATTGATGTCAGTTTAATAATGCAAGAAAACACGGAATCTGTTTAGCGCTGGGCCTCTCAAGTTAAACAAATGTGAATGTGATCGCTCTGGGTAAATTGATGTTTAGTAAATATGCTTTCTAAAATCGCAAAAGATCATGTTATTAAACAGTGATAATGTTAGTAGCTTCCTACTCCGTTTACAACTTGGTTTATAGTGAACAGTCAGCTGTCGCGTGCGTGTGAGGTTTGCCTATAGAATTACTGATTTCGGTGACTCATTCCTGTTTTGCATTGGTTAAGTGTCATTGTGTAGAGGTGAGCTAGCCCGTTCGCATCACATGCGACGTACAACAGTCTACCTGTTCCAACCTAAGGAGTAACATCAGCTAGGCTTTGAATTCTTCAGCGAAATGGAGCGAAAAATGTGTGCCTTTATGTCCCAACGACAGAAATACGCAACCGTCTTACACCAAACAAGGTCATTTGGGCACCTCTGGTGGTATCGGATCTGTTGTAAATCGCGTTGATTCACACCCGTTAATGCGATCACCCCAGCCTCTGACACAGGGTCCCCTTTTCGCAGCATGTCACCGGCCGCGCGGATCCTCAACTCGCCCTCCGTAGTGCGGACGATTATCTTAGATTGTCCTCACACCTAGGTCTCGATATTAGCTCATCTACTACTCACACATCTGAGGTATAAATACACACGCGCGAACCCCACACACGACACCAGCGTGATTGAGCTCTGAAGTAGACGCTTGTGTCCACGTCCTCTCCGGTCTTTTTCCTCATCGCGGATATCAGGGAAGCGCAATCGTGCCAGGGTTAACTCAGTGGCCTCGGTGTGGTTTAAATCCACATGCTGGGCCCACACCAGATCTTTGTTAAAAAATGATTCCTTACTCATCCCCATCTGTCTTACTCCATGATCTAGGATCTCGGTCGTCGACCGGAATAAATGATTTCGGGGAATGCCGACTTGACTGCAATGAACACTCCACGTGAAGCGTGTAGGCTAATCAGGAAATTTCTGAATCAGGGCTCACTTCAAACGCACGCGATTGGAACATTGATGGTACTTTGACCTCTAGGAAAAGTGCAAACTTCACTGAGTACCGCAAAAGAACTGTGTACGGTGCTCACGGAAATCGGATAGATTTCTTGAAGGCTCTGACCACCTTGAACCAAACCTAGGTCCTTCTGGAGAATTTCTACGGCATCAAGCTCTGAGCTGCATTCTCCTAACTCAATTTAAGGAGGCAAGTCGGGCAGTCAATTTCACTCACTGGATGCGGTTTACTGCGCCCAAAATCAAAGTCGGTGGTTGCGATCCTTGATTTTGCCGTCACCTTGGCTGTCGATTTACACCTCAAGTCATCGCTTTGAGAAATCACCTCTTCAAGGCATGCAAACAGTCGTTTTTCCTAGGAAACAAGTGTTTAGACAGAATTCAAAACGGTTTTACTGTTTCTTTTAGCCTGTCCCTTTCCTCAGTGACATTTTCCAATTCAAATTCACGACGATACAGCCGCTGTCTGAGGTCCTGTGTAAAAGCACATGAGAAAAGTGACCACGCCCAGTGCTTACCTCCATTTCGCTTAGCAGATCCGCTATCTCGGTTGTCAACCGCTTATTTTCGCCAGCTTGTTGCTGAATACGCGCATCCTGCAGAGCTTTGTGTTCCTGCGTGCATGAAAGTGACATGAGGGTACACGCACTCCGCACTTACCTGAAGCGCGGTTATTTCAACTCTGTTGGCGCATCTAGTGCCTTCGGATTCCCTGTAGAGGTTCCGCATTTCACTCAACTCCTTCGTCAACCTTTCCAACATGGCCTGGTTTTGAAGAAGACAAAACAGTTAGAGAATTTAGGAAGTACAAGTAAGTATGCAACTCAGGACTTGTTGAATGCGTGATTTAAAAATTATTTTTGCACGTATCGTTTAACTCGCCAAAGTCCCATTTGTCACATGCCTGGCGAGGATTTGTAGTTCACTCCGATCCTCAAGCCTTTTCGAAATGTGGGCCAATGTTTTACCAGCGATCTCCGTTAAAATTAACATTTGTTAACATTTGCTGCTTGATTATTTTAGTTGATTCCTATCATTGACTAATAATTTGCGGGAAGTTTCGTTTAGTATTGGCATGGAATTGAATGCGTGGTTGGGGGTAATTACTAAGATTGTTGCCGTGTAGGCATCTAAAAACTTGTTTGTCGTTAAGGGAAATAAGGCATATTAAGGAGTGGAGGAAGATTTAAACGACACCTTACTATAAACTAAGACAAAGATTTCCTTCATTTACCAACGTTTTTATTGCAGAGGTTCTTAATGCTGAAAAGTACTTTGATTTATTTTGAATCGCGTTGATTCACACTCATTAATTTGATCACTTCAGCCTCCGACACAGGGTCCCCCTTTCGCAGCATGTCGCCAGACGCGTGGATCCCCAACTCCCCCCTCATTCACACGGATATTTATCTTGGATTATCCTCACACCTAGGTCTCGATGTTAGCGCATCTATGACTCACACATCTGAGGTATAAATGCACACACGCAAACGCCAACCACGACACAACGACACCAACGTGGTTGAACTCTAAAGTAAACGGTTGTGTCCACATCCAATCTGGTCTGTTCCCTCATCGCGGGTATCAGGGAAGCGTAATCGGGCCAGGGTTGATTCAGTGCCCCCGGCGTGGTTCAAGGCCACATGCTGGGGCCCACAACACGAGTATGCGAAAACAGTGATCAAAAGCGAAGGGCCTTGCTATAAGGGATGTATTTCAAAGCGTTATAAACATGAATGTCAAGGTATATGACACGTATTTGTCCAATAGGGATTGACTGTAAATGTTGCACCAGGTAGCCGGTTTCGTCACTTCTCTAATGCCATAGATACTTCAATGCCAATGCTCAACATCGGTCAACCAAAGTGGATTTCACGGCCACACACAATGGAACATCAGTAATGAAGTTGTGAACTTTTAGCCAACATAATAAACAAAACTATATTCGAAACGTACATGTCATCTGACCTCAAAAGATAACAACTGTCCGTACTGAAGTGAGTGACAAATTGCTTGTCTTTGAGGCAATTTTGTGTACCATGACAGCTTTTATGCTGTGTCAGGCAAGCAATTGTAAGTTGATTTACATTTAAATACTCATTCTCTCTCTTCTGGACATCGGAGAATCGCATCTCATTTTCCAGGGCATCGTGTGTCCTCTCCAACTCCACGCGTAACTCGATGTTTTTGTCCTCAAAACAAAGCACACACAACATTCATGTAAGTTTTTTTAACCATAAGGCCGGAGAATCGTGATCTATTACACCCACCATCGCGTCTGACAGAGTCTTCGCTTGGCCTTGCACGCTCTCCCCGGTTTCGTCCAGACGTTTCCTGAGATCTGCAGAGGTCTGTGTTAGTTGGCGAATCTCCTCTCGCAGTCGTTCATTGGTCTCCTAAGCATACAGATTGTTTTTTTGTCTTCGTATTACCTGCAATACTAAATTGGCTTCCTGCTCCGCTGCTACCCGTGATTCGTTCACCTACAATGCAAGCAGACTGAGTTATGACCGCGGACTAAATGGACCTCAGACTGGATCAGGCAACCAATTTCTGGATTCGGGAAAAAGTTGCTGTGGCAAGGTCGAAGCTTTTGGCTGAAAACCGAGAAACTGCTAACATTTTAATTCTTGGATGCATTATGGTAACCGCAACAGTGGCAGATTTTTCGAAATCTTAAAGTAAGTGGTTTGACTTGTGGGTTTTGAGAGTGAAAACTGCAGGACAATGCTGCTACTCACTAAAAGAAATACATCAGTAGTAGAGTGCTCAGACAATTTCTACATTGCAGAAGTATGAAATCAAGTTCAGGCATATTTCGACTATGGACGCAGACATCACCATAATCGAAAATGTCTTTTGAAGCGTCATAGATGTATGCTTGCAATTTCGGGGTCGCCTGATATGTGTGTTAACGTTTAGTTGAACGTATATTCTCATATTCTTAGCTAGTTTTGTAAGCAATTAGGTTTCAGAACAAGCACCCCGTTCGGAGGCATGATGCACCTCAGAAGTCAGAGTGAGAAAGATGGTCTTGTGGTGCAGTCTGCAACAGGGAGGCAGAAATTCCCTGCCCTGTGCAATGTGTCCTACCAGTTTGATTTCCGAAGTCGTTTCGAGGGTCGCAGAGCGCAACTCAGCCTCCCGAAAGCGTTCGAAGTTCAGCCGATTGTTGGTGACTGACAGCTGCTCAACCTTGACAGCGAATTCGCTACCTAACTGGCGGCTCAACCGCATTTCCTCTATTTCCGCCTCGAGCGTGCGCTTCGCCTCCATCAGCTCGTCCACTTTCGCCTAAATGCAAGTTAAGAAGCCGGCGCAATTCGTACCCTGCCATGGGTCCGGGATGTTTCATTCTAAAATAAAGTCAGAGTTGAAACGGTCAAAGAAAGCTCACCTGTAGCGCCTTGAATCCAGCGACCTCCTCCATCAGCTAGAGATCAGGAAGTGAGATCAATCAAATAAGGCATACCCTTCGTTGCCCGATTTCCGCAGTATCACTCTCCTGCTTGTCCTGCACAGTCTTTTCTTCCCTTTTTTCAATGTTCGTTTGCAGTTGTGGGTGCTTTAAATGAATGCATTAAGGGAGTTAGAACGCTACTTCAGTCATTTGAGTAGTAGACACCCCCCAAATGCAAGAAAAGGCAACCATCGCTAGCACCAAAACCTTGGTATTGGTTTGGATTATTTGGATTTTGAACCACATCAAAACTAAGTAAAACCATAGTCTCCAGAGCATCAGAAGTACACACAGACTCACGCATTCCAGGAAATTGGAAGGTCCTTTGTTGCCATTCGGCGACTCCACCCAAGCTTCTTCCATTTTCCTTAAATCAAAATCACTAATCAGTGAGGGTATGGAGGATCTACCATCCGTTTCACCATGGAATTGGTTTTTCTCTGAAAGAGTTTGTCATGAAGAGTTGCAGATACTATAAAATTTAACAATATAGAATCCAATCGGGTCTTGAGTTTATCGGGTGAGCAGTGCTCAGAACTTGACGGTTTTCTGACAAATTGCATCCCATCAGAACACAACTCAGATACCCGGGAAGACGACGTTGCAGCCTCACGCACGCCCTCCTTTTCACGGCATGGCAACCGTCACGCGGGCCCGCCTGCTCATTCACCCCCCTGCACGTACCACCACGGCCCGCTTTATCCACGTGACCATTCCAGACGGTCTGCATTTTTGCCCGTCCACTCAGCTGTATCAGTCAGCAAAAACACGCGAATCATGCATTACCTTTAATGCACGCACACGGCACAACACAACTAAGTTGAGCAGTCTAGTAAACAGTCGTGCCTAGTCCCTTCTGGTCCTCTTAATCTTCGCGGGTATCAGGCTAGCTATTTAGCTCAGCTCACGCGGCGTGGTTTGAGGCCTTCAACAACAAGAAGAAGACCAAATAGGGCATGGACACGACCGTTTTCTAAATAGCTCAACCGAGTTGCATAAGTTGCGTAACGGCGCATGAAAACATGCCGGATTAGGTGGCTTGGTTGATCAATACAGTCTGGGTGAGTTTGTAAAAGTACAAATGACTGAGTGGTCAGATGAATGTGTTGTGAATCGTGTTTATTCAACCTCTTGATCCGCTCGCTCCTCCTCCGACACAGGGTTTCCCCTTTCCCCTTCATTCACACGAATATTTATGTTGGATTATCCCCACGCCTAGGTCTCGATGTTAGCTTACATATAGCTCACACACACGTGCTCACGACAACGACACCAGCGTGGTTGAGCTCTGAAGTAAACGCCTGTGTCTACGTCCTCTCCGGTCTTTTTCTTCATCGCGGGTATCAGGCAAGCGTAATCGGGCCATGGTTAATTCCGTGGCCTCGGTGTGGTTCAAGATCACATGCTGGGGCCCACAACAGATGAAACGAGGGAGGTATACGCACCGGGGTGTATGACCAGGCGGTGTAGCAAGGTCGAAATGGAGCGGCATGGAAATGAGGCCAGAATGGGGAGGAATGCAACAACTGGGTTATTGGGCGTGAATCAACACAATTCACCACACCGCCTTGTGCACTGCTACCACGAAACGGCGGGGTCAATGGCAGTTCGCGATTACCGAACCGTTTACTCACGTGAGTGTCTTGAGTTCGTCAATGCAAACAGTGGCCAAGAGGTAGGCGAATGTAGAAGCAGATTTTTCCATTCGAAACGCCGTCAGTATGGCGTCCGTGAGAATTTGCCTAGACACTGTGCTCTCCGTCCGAAAGCCGAGGTTCTATGTTTGATGGGGGAAAAATTGTTAAGAAGCGAGGTGGTCCTGTGGACTGAAGTGGGATGGTGTTGGTTTAACTTACCTCCAAAATTCTCTCGGGTCGCTTCACACGGTATCTCTGGAGAATTTGGACAACATTCTGGCCCAAGATTAGCCTGGATACGAAAAAACAAAGCCCAGAGCGGTGAAATTTCCAGGCTAATTTTGAAACGCACCAACGTATCACAGATGCGAGGCCTTTTCAATTAAAAGGTAACTTACATACCTTCACATGAGCAAACAGCAACCAAATTTAAGAGACAGAAACTGGATAGCATATCCATCATCCAACCAATTTTATCGACAAACCACATTCTGGTAGTAAATCAGTGTGAGAGCGAGGATGCTACTAATTTGACCAGAGGTGCGAAGTTTGTATGAATGAACTTATTTGGCACCGAAAAAATCCATGGACCTTACCTAGACCTCCACGTTCTATGTTCAAAACTTATTTTGCTGAGATTTGTTAATACGTGAACGAAGTTATCGATTTCCAGAGCCCAGATTTTGAGATTAAGCTCAATGAGGAGTGGTAAAGCAGTAAAATAATGAGGTTAAATTTTATGCAAAATCAGAAACTTTGGTGTCAACCAAATCAGATTTTTTGCCAAATCAAGAACAACTGAACAATAGAATTACGTTGGGTGGGATTTTAACTCATTCGGGTCTTATACAATCCGGTAACTCCCGTTTGTCAAATGTGCATGACTTGAGAGCTTCCGATAGTCATTTAAAAGTGACACAGAGTTAGGATAACGTTTTGTGTTCGTTGTGTGAAAGACTAGGTAATTCCCCAAGTCATCGTCACAAAAACCATCCCCAGGTGCTTACCCAGTTCCGTCAAAATCGATCGACGTAAATAACGGTTGGATTCTCAGAGCACGGATTAGGTCCGCATTGGCCTCTTGTTTCACCCCACGTGTCATTTGGTGCTCCTTTCTTGCATGTCTTGGTTCCTACAAAAACCCACTCGGATGGTTATCGACTACAACCGCCCACTCAACGCCTTAGTCCGTCCAACAGAAAAGTAAATAAAACGCTGAATACGTTTAAAAATGACAAATTATTTCTAAGGGTTTTCAGAAGAATAAGGGCTGTCCAAACTGTTTTTTATATATTTTAACCTTTGCGATCCTGTTTTTGCTAACTGAAATTCCATCGTACGGCTTTCTCAAATATGTGTAACTTGGGCCCAACGAACTTAACTAATTTGATAAAAATTTTCAGGTGAAGGGATGAAACAGACCCAGCATTGAAAGTGCCGGGATCAATTTGGTGTTGGAAAATACCTGACTTTTTGATTTCGAAATCAGAGATAGATTGGGCTCACCCTGGGTGCCTTTTGATGCAATCCATGGGAAGTATCGCCATCTGTGGGCAAAGTCTTCGTACAGCCAGCAGTTTGTGTTGTATCCTTGGTTCCTTGGCAAGTTAGATCAATTGGCTGCTCTCCAGTGGCATCCCCACTTATCAGTTCTGTCGATTTCTCACAAGGATTTCTGTGATTGGCTGGAACTTGTGGGGTGCTTGATTCAATTTTCGTAATTCCGTCAATAGCGTTTTCTTGGCCTCGAAGAATAATCGGTTCCAGATCCGTCAAGTTCAGTGACTGCTGCTTAGCCAACGTGGTGAGGCTTACTGTTTCGGGTGACATTTGCCTTGACTTTTGTAAGTCTTTCGTCTTGAACAGTGGGACGTGGGATGATAGTTTTGCAAAATTCATCCCTATCAAGTCAAACATGGCTCTCTTGTCTGCTTTCCTTGATTGGGTACCTTTGACGTTTTCTTCTTTACGGTCTGAAAATATGCAAAGAGGAGTACTAAAATGCGTATCAACATTCTAAGATTTTAGCATTTTCTGCGAACTCCCACATCGTTCGAAAGCCAACCGTGCCCACGTTAGAGTTGATCACATTCTGAAATGGTCTGCTAGTTGGGATCTGAAGTACCCGTACTACTGACCCAACTACTGATTTATGTTCAGCGTTTTACCATGCTTTCCTGTTTGAGAAAAGTTTTATGCGCCGATCGCAACACGATCACCTTAGTTGTGTCGTTCAAATCAAGGATAACAGGCTAAAAACCACGTGTAGAGTAGGCCAAGGGCCTATTTATCAAAAGTGCTTAAAATCTCAGGCCACCTTAACTGCATAAAAATCTTTTCCTCGTTCCTTTGGCATTAATTCAGTTAGTGTAGCCTTTTGACCTCAGACTGATTTCGAGCTAAAAACGACTTTTCAATTGTAGGTATACAGAGGATCTATCCGTGGCGAACAACGAGCGAATACCAACTCAGTTGACTTACGTGTATGCACCTCATGTAGCCACGTTCGTTCAGAAATCGATATTGACATATCAAATATAAACCGACGCCTCGTTACCTTGTTTAACCACGCTACTACCGCATCAACAACTTAGACAACGAGCTAATGCTGTATCGCTTCGCCTTCTTCGGTCGAGCCGCGTCAACTTAGATAGATGGTCCTGGCGTGATTAACAGACCCCATCATGGCCGCAAACATGACATTTTTTTATTTCAAACTTTAAAATAAGACTTCAGCATGTCATGATTTAACCATTGTAAGAGTGCCAGATGGTGTTACCTGGATGCTCCTGGGCCATCACCTCTGTCAAATTGGAAATCCTTGGATCTTCGCCAAGGTTAGTAGATTCGGCAAGAGTAATTGCAACTAAAACAGAATTATGCGAGCCTTCTTAGTAATTTTTATCATTTTGATGTGAAAAAAACCTCCAAATTTAAAGTCGGTTTCACTGAATGTCTACCGTCTTGTTGAGCGTTTCGACATGATCACTAGTCATCCGTTTAATAGCTGGCTTTATTTTCAAGCTAATTTGACGTAGCCGCCTGGTTTTTTCGTTTTCAAAAAAAATCATTCGGAACTGGATAAAATTATCTATTTAAACGCTTTAAAAGAAGTCTGGGATGGTCAGAAATTACCGGCGAAGATTCTTTGAGAAAAATGTTTGTATTGTAAAATTTTCTAAATGTTATTTACAGTCAATAGCAGGTTGTTATAGCCGCAAAAAAGGTTAAGACAACGAGCTTACACCTAGGGGTAACTGCTATCGTTAAATCCTTATTTCGCATTTTCTATTTTCGTGAGTTGTTAATGAATTTAGTGCAGTCTGCTTGTCTACCTGATGCAAATGATGTATGATGCCGTAAGAACCTAATCTTTGAAATATTATCCGTCATCTTCCATGGCCTTGTGCCATCTCTTAAAGGTAGCGCAAAAGAAACTTGTAGCCTTCGAGGCAATAAAGCAATCATCGACGAATTTACGCACAATTGTTTTTTTTTCGCTAAGACGTGCTGCTGAATTGACCGGAACGAATGGTAGTTGGATGGGGCCAAGTCTGGTGAATATGCCGCGTGTGGGATGACTTCCCGTCCTAAGTTCAAGAGGGTCTTCTGGGTCGCGCGAGCAACGTGAAGTGGTCGAGCGTTTTCATGAAGTAGCAGTATGACTTGCCTGGTTCCCTGTCCAATAAATAGCCTTTTCTGATCACGTTATTCGCTCAGTTTGTTCAATTAGCGGCTGTAGAGTTCCGCAGTCAACATCTGACGACCAGTTTCTACGAGTTTGTAATAAAATACACCCTTCAGATACACAGGGGAACCTTCGACAAGTGGATGTCCTGTTTCGACGACGATGTACTGGATCTTCCCACGATCTTGCGTGTCACGTTTGTGAATCTTGTAGCAAAAAATATAGTTTTAGTTACCCGTCACGATTCTCCACAAGACGGTCATTCACTGATTGTTGCCAGCGGGCGAGCAGAGAAAGGCAGTGTTCATGCGTTGGCGTAGGTCGTGTTCGATCAACCCAACTTCCTAGTTATTGAATTTTTACATTTGATGCAAACGCTTGGAATCAGCTCTCTAGGTGACTCCTAACTGAGCTGCAAGCTCCTGTCGCGTTCGCGTTGAGTCTTCATCAAGTGGAACTCGCAATTCCGCATCTTCAAACTTCCGAGGCTGATGTCCGGGTCGCGGCTTGTCGCCAAGGTTGACTTCACCACTTCAAAGACGTTCGTATCACTAACTACACGTTTCATAAGACACAACGTCGGCTCCAAGAACACTGCAAATTGATTCCGTGCTGAGAGAAGCCTTTTTTCTTGCTAGAATTCGTGTGACATGCAGCGTCATTGAATGTGCTGTTTATTAGTTGTCGTAGTAAACTCTGCTATTGTGTGAGGTAATGTAGCTCACGTCGACTTGTCGTTCGGTGTTCAGAAACCTTGCATCCGATCCTTTCAACACCACGAGAGGCCACAGAAATACTTCCACTTTAAACATAATGTTCAGTTGGGAGAAAATAGTTGGTCCTAATTAAGCCATACATCCAATACATTCAGCAACACTCTTCATGGCCGTACGCGGTCGTATCTCGGCTAATCCACCCAATTTCCCACTTCATTATTACACACTTTTCGCTTATTCAGATGGCTGTCCGAAATTGGAGATTCCCGGCCGAACGTTCCCAGTGGATGCTCTTTTCCTCGAAGACGTGCTCCACCTAACCAAGTAACTTGTTGTTCCCTCGGCTAACACCACTCACGCCACTTTGTCGTCACCACCTCTCTCTCTCTCCGTCTCTCCCCCCTTCAGATTCAACATGCCTCCGGACGTGCTGTACAGGTTCAACAAAACCAACCAACGCATGGCCCAAATGCGCGCCCAGTCCGTCGCCAGCCCCCCAATAACCCCAGACATCCGACAAAACTTCAAGCATTGGCTTAAAAGAGCCACCCCCAGGTTGGTTGTGCAACCTCCGCTTCAAACACCTCCCCGTCGTGTCTTTGCCTTTTTTTCCCAATGTCGTGGATGGTGTAGGTGTCGAATTGAAGCGCGTCTTCAGGGTTACGTCCCTCAGAGTGATTATCTGAATTGGAAGCAATGGTCCGTGTTTCGCCTTCGTTCTGCGTCGATCACGACCAACTTGAGAGATTTTAGCAATTGCAATCCCTGTAATTCACACACACACACACACATTGGTCTTGCGAATCTGCCACCTTCTGCCCCTTTCTCAAGCACTACGAGTGGGGCTTGAACCCACGACCTATTGTTCTGGCAACAGAAAGAAGGCCGGGCAAGGAATATCCGTTGTTAGGTCTAAACAATGCGATTTCAGGTGTCCTGCCGACCAAACAAAGTGTCCGTAATCCGATCTGTCGCCAAAATCACCCCGAGGCCGTTCCCTTCTGTACTTGTGACCCCTTGTAGGCGACCTTCCAACAGACCACTCAACGCTTCAGTGGTTTGAGTGATTTTTTACTTCACCACTCCCAACCAGTAGTCATGAAAGTGTTTTTCAAGCTGTCACTCCCACTTATCTTAAATCGCGTCTTAGGGTTTGTTGGGTAGCTGGACAGAGTACAATCACTGCACAGAAATCGTGAGTATAAGTTGACAGGAGTTGCGGCGTTTTTGCAGATTGAAATTGAGTTACGTTTGCCCGTAACAGAGAGAGAACCACTCAAATAACGGCACTTGATCCCTTGTTGGCGCTAGAACCGACCTTCCCACGCTAATGCAATAACAAGACCAGAGCCCTTGTAGAGAGCTTTAATCGCGTCAGCCACGTACGGAGTCAGTTGTTAAAAGCGTACACTGATCAAAGTCAAGGTTGACCTTGACCTGACAAAAAGCATAGTAAAACACAGGCTAGTGAATTAGTGTAAATTGTGCCAGAACCTAACGACGAGAAATCTTGGGGAATCGTGAATCCCCAACAAACTGCATGCCGCAGAAACATTCGAACTTGCTTAAAATGATAATCGTTTGCGATGTCTGTGTGGTTTTAACATGCTCTCCCACATGAGCCCTGTAAGCGGACTGCTCCAGACTGGCCTTCTGCTTTTTGTGAGTACGTAAACAAAAACTGTGTTGATTAACGCCCAATCGTCATGCTCTCTTCACGGCGCCCCTATCGATCATGTAGGACCGCCTGCTCACACCCCTGTGTGTGTGTGTGTACCTCCCACCTTCGCCACCCATCAGCTACTTTGTACACTTACATATTCACCCGGATTATTTTGGCCAGCAACCCTTTCAGTCAGACATGTCTATGTATGCACAGTGGCGTGATTATCACAACTGGGTTGTCTGTTGAACGGTCTGGTCCCCTTTGTCTTTCCAAATGCCTCAGTGTGGATCAGAACCACACGTCGGGGCCCTTCAACGGGCTATTAAAATTCGGTATCGCACGTTCTCTCAGTGGCTGGTCCGGTAGTATGTTGTGTGGGGAATGAGTATCGATTTGGAGTGGGTTTTCTTGACCTCACACCATCCGCGTCTTCATGTAGACTGTCCCCTGGAAGCCTCCAATTCCTCGAGGCGCTGGACATCCACGGGTGTCCGCCGCCAGAATTCGTGGCCGTAGTCATCGACTACATCATCCAAACCACCGACAGCGGCGCCATCCTAGCCTTTGTACCAGGTCTCGGTGTAAGTCACTTGGAAGCATCCGTTTTTTTTTTGCTTTTAATTTTCAAACACAGCTGTATGGCTCCTTGATTATGTCGATGTGTCGGTGCGTGGTGTTTCGTAAGATCCGTCAAAAACGTCTGCAAATCTCCGTTCCTAGTCCAGTCTCCCGAATGCTAGTCTCGATTTATGTAGTGGGCCCCGGTGCGGTTTCGGGGAGCCACATCAGGGCCGGCGATCTACTGACAAGGCCCGATCGAAAGAAGCGTAGAAAGTGCAGATGGCGCGTAGCTCAACCAATTTATTGGTACGGTAGCGGTGTGTTATCGCACAGGATAAAAAGCGCGTTTATATAGCTTTGCTGAGCGTCGATCTCTGAACAAACAGAGTTGCGTGAAGTGCATTCACGGAAAAAAATCGATTGAACGCACGTAGTTGCGTAGTTTACTCATGAAAAATCGACTGAGCGCACCGAGTTGCGTGAAGTGTACTCACGGAAAATCGATTGAACGCAAGTAGTTGCGTGGAGTGTACTCATGAAAAATCGATTGAACGCACCGAGTTGCGTGAAGTGCATTCACGAAAAATCGATTGAACGCACCTAGTTGCGTGAAGTGTACTCATGAAAATCGATTGAACGCACCGAGTTGCGTGAATTGTACTCATGAAAAATCGATTGAACGCACCGAGTTGCGTGAAGTGCATTCACGAAAAATCGATTGAACTCACGGAGTTGCGTGGAGTGTACTCACGGAAAATCGATTGAACGCACGTAGTTGCGTGGAGTGTGCTCACGAAAAATCGATTGAACGCACGTAGTTGCGTGAAGTGTACTCACGAAAATCGATTGAACTGTGTTCGCTCACGCTTACACACTGCGTCCGCTCACGACTGCTTGCTTGCTCCTCGCCACATTTACGTTAGTATATGCGCCGGGAAACTAGCACAATGCTACGCACGAATCTAGCAGGTCTTGTCGCCAAGCAACCGCTTGAATCGACCTCGTCGTGTCACCATTTCGCCATCCTCATTTAGAGTGGACGTCACCGACCGCCAAGATCGTAGTTCAGCCTAGGGTCTTACCCCTAGATCGCCTCAGCCTCAACTTACCCTTCAGCCAAACGGCCAGACGGCGATTTTGCACACCCAGTTGAGATAATAGGCAAAAAGGCGTTCCGCCATGGGCGTCAAATTTGTTCCAATCTTACCAAGAAATTGTGAAGATGTTATGCGAACTCGGTGGGGTCTGTGGTTGATGTAGATGTGTTTCCTCGCGAAAATTCGTCAGCTCTGTACTAAATCTGGTCGATTAGGATAAAAAAAATGACATTTTGTAAATCTCCCACACAGATTGCTGCGTTTATAACGAGATGCGCGCTCACGCAAAGGAGTTACGACTTATGTAAGCACGACTCTTATCCTGTATCCTCGTTGCGGTGAGGTAATTTAGTTTTCTTCTGGAACTAGTCGCTGCTAGAGGGTGTAGGAAGTGTCCAAGCTCACTTGCATTTGCCTCTGTCTGTCCCTAGGACATTTTGGACACAATGAAAACCCTTCGAAACATGAATCCCGCAGTCTACGGCCAGGCTTCGGGTCGAGTAGTGCTCCACGGTCTCCACTCGCGTCTGCCGACGGCCCGCCAGCGTACCGTCTTCGATCCCCCGCCTTTCGGAAAGCGCAAAGTCGTGATTGCCACCAACATTGCCGAGACTAGGTAATTCACTGACTTGTTTTGCGTCGTAACTAATTTAACCATTGAATTGTTACTTATATTTTGTAAGTAGCATTTTGTGTAAACTTAAGGGCCAACGGTTTTTGATGTCACATCCAGTGTTTCTCTAAATTTAAACCCGACACCACTATCAAAACGAGCACAACTGCGATCATAAAGCCTCGTGTATGAAGGCCCATTAATAAATGCAGAATTTTGTATTACAAAACACCACATGAGCGGCAATAATCCACGCCCACACCAACTTTTATTTCCATGGCTTTGATCTGTTTTTCCGAATTCGCGTTTTGGGTGATATCGCTGATCATGTTGTTGGGGTGGGTACCCCGGATCAGTTACTCTATCACATGGACGAACCTCCGAAGTATCCAGAGAGAGAGAGAGAGATCCACGTAGCACTGACTCACTCGCACTCAATTGCTCTCTGTGTTGGCGATTTCATTTCGGTTTGACCTCTGAACGAGTTGGTGCGTGTGCCCACGTGTACGGCTATGCGTTTGAGCCCTGCAGGTGTCCGCTAAGTGGTGCTCTGGTGGTGAGGCGCCTCAATCAGCGATTGAGGGCATCGGGGTAAGCCCGAAGCCTCGTCGTACCCATTTGAGTTGTGGTTTTTCTGTCTGCTTGCGCGCTGATTTATTTGCCCAACCTGGATTGCCTCTAAACCAGCATCCAGGGTCGTGCTTTGCCCGCCAACGTCACGTGCTCCGGAACATAAACTACTTTCGCGAGAGCAGGCCGGGTTCTTTGTCGGACACCTCAAAGTCGACAAAATGAAGCTAGCACGTACAAAATAAAATCGCCTCTTTACTTTCCACATTTCTTTCTCCCACAATCAACCATTTTTACGACCAATTATGGGCACCTTCAGCAAGGAGTGTGACTCCTTCCCTGGGCTTAAGACCTGTGTTTTGGAAGTTGGAAAGCAGTTGTAGGAGCAGCATTATGTGGTCTAGCTGAGTGCTGAATGATGGCGATGTCCCTGCCTCTATGCAGTCGAAACTACGAATGACGTCAGCTTCATTCCAACCTATTTTCACTCTTCCAGCTCAAGCGAACACTGCTGGGGGTCGCCTAAGTGGGCCTCACCCCCACGCCAGAGCAGCTGAATGGGTGTATCTTTGTTGCTGTTCGATTCGACACCAAGTACCCAGACAAGAATTAAAGGGCCAAGGTCGACGGAGACTCAGGCGTTTATTGGTTCGCTGAACCTGGGGGTGTTCCTGCGTACCTATTGGTCGAATGGGTGAATGGCGCGGAATCTTAGTCATTTGATGTTGAAGTTGGGCATTGGCGGTGTTTGCTTATCGTAAAATACCTGAGCCCTAATATAAACAAGGCGGGTACTACAAGGCATGCCTTACTGACCAATCAAAAGCCAGAACCGTCTGTCGGACGATGTCCATTCGAGTCCGCCATGATGGCGGCGCTGCTCATTATGTAATGCTTCTCATCCCTCCTAATCTCTGGTTGGCTGCTAATCTACATGCGTAATTCAAACGCACAACTACAGAGTATTTGCTGAGCTGGACGTAATCCAATATGTCTGCTTCCTAGTACGGCACTATTGTAGAATACCCGAGCCCAAGTATAAACAAGACTGGTACAACAAAACAGGCTTTATTGACCAATCAGAAGCCAGAGCCACACGTCAGGCGCCTTCCATCCGAGTCCACCACGCTGGCCACGCCGCTCATTATATGCTGCACCTCAGTTGTGTCCTTCTCTGGTTGGCTGCCTATCTTCCTCGCACGCCATTGGAACGCAGAGGGACACAGGATTGGCTGCGGCCAGGTGGTCCAACATGCCTGCGCCCTGATCCGACGCCACACTGTGCTACACACCCAAAGAATGCGCGGGTTCATTGGGATGAGTAAACAGGGGGAAGCGATCAAGCGTGAAATGTGGTGACAGTTGTGACTCCACCGACTGCACAAAACGGGTGCTCCGTTGATCGATTACCAGTTGAGCCACCCTTCACCGCCACGCGATGCCTCGCACGCTCCTCCTCCTCCCTTGCTCTGCGTTGATCTACCGTTAATTCGATTTACTGAATGTGGGTCACCAAATTTCTAGGTCACTCGTCCTACGCATTCGCGAGCTCCGTTTGTGGTGTTTTTGTTAAAACCAAAGTGCGCAATTCGGCTCCTTCGGTTAGGCCTTTACGACGCCAGCACCCTCCTCTCCAAAGAAAAAAAAACACCCAAGTTGTGTGTGTATGGAGAAATTCGTTTTAGTCTCGTGTGCAAGTTGAATCAGCACACAAGCCCTGGAGCCATTAAGCCCAGATACTGCTGTCGGGTTTCAGCTCTCTTCTCAACACTATAAACTCGTTTCAATAATTCTCAAAGTCATCTACTGATGACCGATTTTGCTTACTTCCCAAGAAGAAAATAATGCCGATTTGTGTGGCGTTCTCTGGTCTTTCGGTGGTTGCAATCGCAGAACCAATGTTTATTTATCGATTTTGTGCTCCTAAATGTGGAAAATTTGTCTTTATGAGCCAATCATATAGCGATTTCAAGGTTACATGAGCCTGTTCTGTTTACTTACCTGATTCTAGTAAATGATAATCACGTATCTCTCGGCTGAAGCTAATCCTCGATTTGTCAAAAACTTTCAGTCAAGTAATGTCTCATTTTAGCATTCATTCAACATTGCACGGGTTCTTATGCTAGATTCGCATGTAAGGTAGAAATTAGATGTGTGACTCGTGGTTTCCTAAAACTTTTTTGACGAATTCTATGATCTGGTCCAAAGTTACCACTGTTTGTCGAATCAGCTCAGTTAAAACGCTAGTTTAGTCTTTGATGCGGGAAAAAGTGTTTTTAATTTCTGTGGTCGATTCCATGCACCGTGGACTGCCACCGTCCAGGGATTTCCATTATCTACTCGGCTACGGTTTGTGTCGTCACCCGTGGCAACGGTGATGTTTTCGTGAGCCACAGACAAGGGCGTTCGTTCCAGCTTGTGATCCTCTCGTGGTTTTGAATTTTGTTGTTGTCTGGTCATGGTGAAACGCTTAATAACCGCTACTGTTCCATCACGACCACTGTTGGAATTCGTTTCTGGCTCCTAAACACGACTTTTGAGGTCTTACCCCGTGACCCCACAAGGCAACCAATCAATAGTTTCTGGTTTCATGCGATCCCCTCACTGACCCGTCCTGTCGGCTAAATGTGTTTATTTTGCCAACTTTAGCATCACAATTGAAGACATCGTCTATGTGGTCGACTGCGGGCAAATCAAGATCACCACGTACGATCCGCAAATGAACACCTCTACTCTCGCGCCTGTTCTCGTCAGCAAAGCTAATGCAGCTCAAAGACGCGGTCGTGCTGGCCGGTATGTGCCTTTTCCTTGCTGTTCTAGACAGTTGAAAGTGTTACTAACCATCAAGCGTCGTCAATAACCCTGTTTTTCCTAGTTTTTTTGGGTTTCTTGAAGGTTAGTTTATGCGCCAAATCCGCCAGCCTAGTGGTTCATCTCGGTGGAATCGCATTCCAGGTCTTCTTTTGAATTTCCACAACTCTGGATTGTTTTCAGCGTTTGCTTGTTGTTAGAATCGAATATTTTGTCTCTGATGCGTGGATCAGGGCTAAAGACTACATCGATGCCTTTAGCACAAACGCAAACGGCAACTTTGCGTTGCAAAACACCTAGGTTGTAACGAAGATGTGTTCGGTAGTTTTTCGCTTAGTGGCGTCACGCCCCTTTCTCGTCTTGTGTCCAAAACGAATCTGTTAATTCCAACTGTTGCTACGTCATTGTAAACGCGCCAACGACTAATAACGTCATGCCTGTTCTGAAGAATTGTCGAATTCGAGGCAATTAGAAGGCATCCTACATCGTGTGGCTGGTAATTGTCGTCAATCCAGACACCAGAAACAATAAAACACACTATTCTACTTGCGATTCCGGTAATTTCGTGGTAGGCAGGAAGCTACGCGCTTTGGTGTCGCGTCATTTGCGCCACTAAAATGTTGTTTATGAGGCGTAATTTAGGTGGAATGAGAGCACGTCTCCACTCCCTACCACCAATAAAACGGGACTTTCATGCGGCAGTGTGAATCAACGAATGTCCTACTCAGAGTCGAATAATGCCGCAGAACTGCTGATTTATTTGTCATTTGTAAACGCTCAACATCCCACATCTGGTCTATCGTCGTACTCAATTGATTTCACGAGAAAAGACTTCTCTCCATCTGTTCTTAGCTTTGCAATGGGATGAGCCCTGAGTTGGCCGTTTGCCATGCGTGAAGTGGCCTTTGGCCTAGTTCGCTACGCACTTCTTTGGCCAGTAAAGTGTTTCGACAAGGATCGACTCCATCTCATTGGCCTTTATTGCCTGTCCCAAAGCGGTCCACCTTTTCGCAGCATGTCGCCATCTGCGTGGATCCTCAACACGCCCTTGTTAGTGCGGACGATTATCTAGGTCTTGGTGTTAGCTTATCTATGATCCACACGTCTGAGGTGTAAATACACACGCGCAAACGCCGCACAACGACACCAACTTGGTTGAGTTCTAAAGTAGACGCTTGTGTCCACGTCCTCTCCGATCTTTTTCTTCATCGCGGGTATCAGGGTAGCGTAATCAGGCCTGAGTTAATTCAGTGGCCCCGGCGTGGTTCAAGACCACATCCTAGGGCCCACAACAAGTTCCTCTTTCAGAAATACCCTTTTATTTATTCATCTTCACAGCGAAACGCTCCATGCCAATGAGCTACTAAGACGTTTGGCGATTGGTTGATTTCTGCTTTTCTTCTCAAGTATCGATTTAACCGTTCGTCACATACTGACAAGCACCGCCATAATTAGCAAAAACCGGGCTTTGTCGACTCCACCTTTTTGCGATCAACGTCGTGTCGCCACGCTACCTCGCACCTAGGAACTTCGTAAGGTAGACATGTGAGTTCCCCCAAGCCTGTATTTCAGCCACAGCGACACACCTGCTTGTGTGCAGTCGCCTCGTCACATTTCTCGCGATAACGTATCATGTTGGCAACGGCATTTCGGTTGTTCACTAAAGCCCAAATCATCGAGTGTTGCCGTCGCCAATCTTGCACCGAATCTCTACACATTGTCCTTTTTGTGAGAAGTGCTATCGCTTATCGGCGTACTCTTATCGTCGCAGTTCTCACAATGCAACACGTGAATTCTGCGCAATCTTTTGGCAGAGCCGTGCCAGCCTCTTGGGTGTGTTTGAGTACCCGAGCTATTATTTGCCCGTTAGGCTAACCCAACTAACGCTGTAGTCAATCCGGGCGTTGTGTAATCACTACCCTCATAGCGATTCGCAGGATAGCTTCCAGGTCTTCTACGGCTCCTCTCCTCATGTACGTAAATTGATTTACAATCGAGGATAGTCAGCCTTTGGTGCATGTAGGATGATCAACAAGAAATCCCGCCCCCTCTCTCTCTATGCAATCCTCCGTTCGTTCAAAATCACTTCATCGTCATTTTTTTCACAGAATTCGCCTTCGGTGGTTTTTAAAAGTTGTCAAGTGCACGTACTATTTGCGTGTATTGGATTAGAACGTCGTCAAGTGTTCCCTAAGTTAAGTAAATAAACACATCCATCATTTTTTGAGTGCTCGCTGAAAAAGCTGGCTAAATTGACAGCGGGGAACCGAAATCAGCAAATTTAATTTCAATACTTACTTTTGTCAATTCGTGTCCACACACGTGTTTGGGTGGTTGTCGCGTCTGCAACCTCCCGGTCACGTGGCGCCCTATCAGATAAGACCAAGTGGATTCAGGAAATGTCTGTATTGTCTGTTTTTCCTCCTCAACTCGTGTCCATTTCTTCGTATTTATTCGCTTAGTCACGTTGCACTTGCGTCTTGCTTTTGCTAAAAATATCATCGCTTTCTCGCTCTCCAAAGAAATTCCTTGACGGAATCGCGTTCTTTTGACAGATTCCACCCAATTCAAGAGCTCTAGGCGACCGACTGCTTATTTTAGTAAACTCGACACAAAAAAAAGTTTGCGGAATTCCTACTGGCACTGAAGGTCTGTGGATGAATGCACGTTGCGGTGTACTTTTGGTGTGTAGTTAATCGTGCTGATTCGCGTCCATTAGCCCTGTCGTCGCATTCTCCGCCACACTGACCCCTTTCCACGGCGTCGCTGTCGATCACGCGAAGCTATCACCTCACCCATCCCCGTACCATCTAGTAATAACCGTTTGTCCCTGCCATCTCTGGTCTTCTCTCTGATGTATTCTGGCCACTACAACGCGGCGGCCTCGTCGTGTTCGGGGCCCTCAACAGGTGCTTTGGACGTTAGTATCTCCTCGTCGTTTGGTACAACTACTTCAGCAGTTATCCCGTCTCCTACTGAAACCCCGATCTTACTTCCGTCACAAATTCACCGTTTTTTGAACCCTTGCTTTAGTCAAAATTAAACACACTTGTTCCCTCTCCACTTATGTTGCTTGCCTAAATTCTCGGGGTCAACTCCTATCCCCCGGAGGCGTTCGTGTCCTCAAGTGCCTAGATTGGATAAAATTTCCTTGTTTTCTGCTTCACGAACCTGGTGAGTACTCCAGGGTTCGGTCTAGGGCAGCCGCATTTTCTTATCAACGATCCCCACTAGGCCTTTCACGTAGACGCAGGCTTCTTCGCGATTGGATAAGCTTCACCATTGCGATTACACCAAAGAACAATTCTCCACACCGCATCAGGTGTGCATAAATTTGCCCTGGTTTGTCTGCATCCACACCTGAGGTTAGCGGGTCACCGTAATCGGTGGCTTCATTTTGGGACTTGACGATCTGTGTATCCTACCATTCCATGCAACAATGATGGGTGACGCAAACGTGCATCACGGTTTGCAGCTTACTCAACGCAAGAAGTAACTAACCTAGTCGCTAGTCGACTTGCTGCCCGTTTTTTCATTTCATTCATGCTAAGTTGGTGCTTTCTCAACTTCTAACCATCCCTCCAGGTGTTGTTCGCTAATTAACCATCCCTGCCGACTCACTTTTTCTCAAATCCAGGCCACGAACTCGCCAAACGTGGGCAAAAACCTCGGCCAATCTCGCTTTTCTCAACCTTCCTTGGCACAGTTGTTCTGATCATGCATTTTTTACGAAGGGGTGGTGGTTGTGGTGACCGCCTCGAACGCCATCCAACCAAATTAATCTATCGATTCTCAAATGTCCTTTTGACCGCACTCTCGTGACCTACTCCAACAGCAGATGACTCTTCCGTAAAGATTTCGACCAAGGTTTGGCTGTTTCCGTTGTCAATGCCAGAAAGAGGTCACCACTAGCCATTCATGCCAATTTTTTTTCAGCTCGCACGCACCAAATCCCAATGATTCCTCCTTCCTCCCTTTTGCAATCACGACAATGCAGTTAGTGGTTTTTTTTCTCCTCTAAATAGCGCAACGCTTTCGTGTGCGGGCATTTGAAGGCCCTTGTCTTGCGCGGGTCACGTTCGTTACTCGTGCCAGTTGCTGCTTTTGTGGTGCACTGTTGTGGCATATTTATTCCTGTCACGCGAAAAATTAGCATACGCTCCATGCAACGTCAACGAGGCGGCGCAGCATGTTGACTTGCCTGCTCCCTGCAGCATCACAAATCGACCACGAGGCTTAATTGCTCTTGGAGTTTCAGAAATCACAAAACTTTTTACATTTTGCAGATAGTGAAGTTACTTCCACGCTCACCTCTCAGCACTAAAGCCGTCCCCCCCCCTGTGAACTAGCTGTCAGCACAGTCACCTAATTTGTGGTTACTGATTCAGTTTGGTTATCTTTTTGACACACAGACGGGTAGATTTCATTGGACAAGTTACCACACTGTCACTTTCCCAGGTTTCTAATTGCAATTTTCATATTTCACATACCTTGAGATGTTTTCAAGTTTTTAACGCAATACAGAATCGGTGTGGTTTTTGTTTCTTCCGCGTAGTCGTTCGGAAATCCGGCGTTTGGTCAAAAGTGCTTGCGGAAATCGTTGCGCTTTTCTCACCATTCGTGCCTTGATGGCGAAGTTTTTCATCCTCCTTAGTGCTTTAGGCGGGAGATTTTTAAGGTCAAAGATGCACTGAATCTACGTTGCCTTTGAACTCACTCGCTGCCGCGTTTGATGCCGTAGTTCACCGGCATTTTTCAAGTTGTACATTGCACTACTAGCTAGTCTTCATGTTCGCATCTGGCATATCCCCACCGTCGAATTATCCGCCGTTTTTCTCATCCTGAATGGCAAATTCATGTACAACTTGCTCTTTTAGGGTGCGACCAGGTCGATGTTTCCACCTATTCTCCAGTTTTACCTACGAGCGAGTCATGCTCGACTACCTGCCCCCTGAGATCATGCGAATTCGGCTGGAGGATATTATTCTTCGAATAAAGGTGCGCCCCTTCTGCCGTCTTTGATCCCCTTTCTTGTGTGTGATTCGTGTTATCACCGCGCACCCGCTCATAAAGTGGGTTTTTAGTGTTGCCGTCAAAAAACCCCTTAGTGCAAGTGTACTCTCTTTAAGTGTCGTCAGAATTGCCTTCCAGATGTATGGGGTGTTCGAAATTCTCAATTAGCGAACATGGATCCGTTTTATCCGAAGTCCAATGCTATTTACACTCCCTTCTGTAATCCATAATTTGCCCCACTAAGCAATATCTAGCCTCTTTTTCCTAAGGCTCCACAAACTGGAAACCTTGCACAGTTCCTGAAATATTGTTGCATTTTCTTCATTCCAGGCCCTTGATCTGGGTCCTGTGACCAGTTTCCTAGCCAACTGTATGGACCCCCCGGCTCTTGAAGCGGTTCGTAGCACCCTCAAGTTTCTCCGCGACATCCAGGCGCTCAAACCACCCAATCCCTCCGGTCCAGATTCCCCAACCGGTTCCACCTCCGTCCCTGTTGCCAGGCTCTCGACGATGAAGAAGAAGCAGCGTGACCGTCTGGTGGCAGGCGCCATTGAGGCCGGCAAGACGTCGGTTGCCGGGGCAAGGAATCAGTCGGAGGAGGACTACGACAACGATGTGCTCACTCCGCTGGGCCACCACTTGGCGAACCTCCCGATGGACCCGCAGTGCGCGAAACTCCTCATTCTCGGCACGCTCTTCTGCTGTCTGAAACCGGCCCTCGCGGTGGCCGCGTGTCTGGCCTTCAAGGAACCCTTCGAGGTGCCCATTGGTTCCGAGGCGGCTGCGGACAGGAGGCGGGCGGAGCTGACTGAGGGCTCGCAAAGCGATCACTGGGGCTTCTACGTTGCCCTGTCGGTTAGTAAAACCCCGATTTGTCCGTTCTTCTGTTGTTGAAGCTCAGGTGTGGACTCGAACCAAGGCGATTGAGGCCCAATCGTTTACTGGGACCGCATAATTCTTAATGCTCGTGGATGTGTGAAGGTGTAAGAGGTCAAGAAACGTTGAATTTGACCACAAATTCGGACTACATGTCCAAGTAAAAACGCGGTTCATGTAGTTTGTGAAGTGTTTCCGCATCGCAATACCTGAGTTGCTAGTGTTTTACGGCAGCTGTGATGTCATCGTGTAGTTTCAATGACACTTGGTGTGCCAACGTGGCGGAAGTTTGGCTCCGTGTTTGTTTGGTTCATAATTGGTAAACGCACTTCAGTGTGCCAAACAGTGTTGTTTTTGTTTGTGAGGTGATTGGGATTTTAGGTTCCCGCATGATTCGCCTCGTTCTTGAGTAGGCCATGCGGACGTATCGATCAGTTTGCCTCTCAAACACCCTGATGCCACCCAATATATCCCTTCCCGATTTTTACGAGTTTAAATATCGTGATTTTGTGTCGCACAACGTACGCTATCGGTGCCTACCGAAATGTCATCGGTCGCACTGTAATTGCGGTGTTTTAAGGCCTTTGAAGTTTCTCAAAGGCAATTCCCTCGTCTTTTGTCTTGAAATCGTTCGTGTCACCAATCTACAAACCTGTGTGCTGTTTTGCTGAGTTACAAACCCGCGAGGTGTGTTCTATGGGAGTTTATTTCTCCAGAATGCGCGCGCTTTCAGCAACAAACAAGCCATCTACGAACATGTCGTGACCTTAAGACGTCGTTTATGCAAATGACCTTACTTACGAAAGCACGGCTAATTTACCGCTGTGCGTCGTGTTTTGCGAGGAGTGCTATCACTCAACTGACGCAACTGCCCCATTCAAACGCCGTGAAATCCGTTTTTTAACGATCTGGGGCTTCACTTGGTTTCACGCATTCACAAGTGTGACAACAATAGTAGCCAAACTCGTTAATGCAGATTACTGCACCCAGAATGTTTTCTTAAAAACACTCTTGATTAACCTCAGCACTCTCTGTTTCAGGAATACATGGACCTGCGTGAACACGAAAAATACAACTTCTGCAAGAAGAACTTCCTCAATCGCAACACGATGGATGTACGCTTTCTTGATTATTTGGTCCTTAGAAGCCCCTGTTTTGGCATAACACTTTTCAAATTATTCACACCAGCCTTCATAGCGGAAACCTCCTGTGCAAAGTGGGTGGTTTTGTTGGCGTTGTCACAACAGTGAATGCCGTTTTTGAGACCCACTTGAGGCTGCCAAATTTCGGCTGTGTACTTCTTGTGTCGCCACGCGTTTTTTTTAGTGCATACGCTACTTCACAGCCAAGTGAACCTCCAATGCAGTGGCGACTGGCCTTTGAGATTCTAACGAATAAACCATCTACGTGCTGGCGTTTTTACTACAACTGTCGAAGGAAAATCCTAGTTCTTAGCTTAGCCAGAAGTGGGTCTTATTTAAAAATGACTTCTACATAATGGACCCATGTCGAAGGCCCTATTTCGCCGAAATATGTTGCTTGTTACATTGAACCTCTTGAATATGAATTGGATCCGTGTCATTTTGTGCATGACGCAAGCTCTTAGAGCAGATTGTTCATCAAATTTTATGAGTTTTAACCAACTCTTTTCGTTATAAACTTGATCTGGATCATTGTTTTGTTTCGCTTGTGCAATAGTTGCACGAAAATTGTCACCAAGATGTGCCCTGGCAATATACATGGGGATTGTGGCGTTGTTGAGCTCTTGAACAGTGAAGCAACTGTGATTCTTCAGTGCTGTTTAAACCTCGTTGCTAGACGTTTACATGCGCGCGCGCTTATTTGTCCAAATGCTCTCTCCCTAGGATTTGTGCCGGCTAATGCACGAATTCGTCGGTCTGTTGTACGAGCGCAGGTACATCACGTCGATGGACATGAACGAGAGCGCGGTGAATCGGCACTCCCACGACGTCAGGATCTTCCGCGCAGCCCTGGCCGGCGCCTTCTACCCCAACCTCATCCTGGCCTCGGCTCGCAAACGGAAGTGGGTTCCGTCCGATTTGCACAAATTAACGCAGTCGTTCCTCACACACAAAACACCTGTTGTATCTTTTTTTCACATCAGAATTGTGACCACGTTTTTCTCGTGTGTGTGTGTGTGTGTGTTTGTGGACTTGCGAGACACTCGTGCACCCTGATGAGGAAAAGCAGCCCAGTCGAGTCTCCTGTCAGGAGCCCCAGTCCTGGGTCCGTTTTCAGTGCGGTTTAGTTTGCGCAGTTGATCACATGGCGTCCAGTTCTTTACCGCGTAAACCACTTTAAGTTTCCGGTTGCGGTGGCCACCCAGGTACTTCGAAAAGTACTTTCCAAGGCAACCACGTTTGAAAGCGTGGCCTGTGTACTCACTAAAATTCAGACAATCACGAAGCTCTGAAAATGTTGTGTGTGTGTGTGACACGAATTTCCTTCGATAGAGACCTGTAGCTAAATTCTGCTAATTCTCGCACGTCCTGCTGTTGGCCCATTCCACCCACCCCCATTGATTAAGACAACCGACAGACCTTGTCCCGCCTGTGTATGTCTGCAGCCTTAAAGCAGTCTCATTCTTCCACATAAACGATACAATTCGGTCGGGTCCCGTTGTCCCAGGCGACAGGCCTCGTTTCCCGTTGGAATCGGAAGTGCTCTTCGGCAACATTCTAATCGATAATCGACCTTTTGTCAGTGGTGATTCGCCAGTTAATCGAGTTATAGCGCCCGCCACTTTCGTGGCCCTGTGCTGCGTCTCTTTTTAAGCCACCTCAATGACCATTATCGATGTGTACGCTTAGAGAGTGCAGCATTTCGTTTAAAAAAGAAGAAAACAAGTTTTTTTCTCTCGGCTCCAGGCCAAATGGTGTCTTGCCTGCGCCGATTATCAAAGGCCCCTCTTCGGACGAAAAAGTCGCCCTCCACAGCAAATCGGTCAACGCCAACCTCCGACCTCTGGATCACCTTTGGTTCGTCTACTTCCAGAAAATGAAGCTCGATCATGGCGCGGTGCGTTGTTGTGTTGGTTATTCCCAACAGCATGACGTTTTCTAACGCAATTTTCGTTCTGGTGCCAATGCCTTTTTGTTGACCAATCACACGTGCTTTCTGCAAAATGTCGGATGCGTAGAGGTGAATGTTCTTGGGGAACACACCACTGGAACCCTCGTGAGAACTGCAATACGCTACTCCTTTGGTGGCTATCCTTACGCATAGATTTGGCAGATAAAAAGACGCTTAAATATGTAAGCAAGCTTATGTGGTTTGGTAGTCAGCGTTGAAGATGTTTGTTTTTGAAACAACGTTTGTGGACAAGAATGTCGTAGCTGAAGCATAGGTGAGGCGATGAGGTATTGTAACCAGGTATGTTCACTTTTAACTTGGGTGTCAGTAGAGGTCACAATTGATTGCGCCGAATGTTGTTTTGCCATTCGGTTGAATTTGTATGGAGGTCGTTGTCCCGAGCAGTCGTTCTCTCGCCTCCTCTTTCCGTCATTTGCAGTCATTTACAATGTGGCATTGTTTAATTTTTTGATAAATGATTGGTGCATGAATGTTCTCTGTTACTTGCGCCATTGGCCGAGCCAACCGCAATATCGACTCGTCCCCTTTCTCGGGTCATTGGATGTCCTCACTATTGCCTGAGATTTCCTCCGTCTCCCGACACTGCTAGTGTTCCTCTCCTTCCTGACTGCCAATTACAGACCTTCAATCGTGGCAGTTCACGTTGCCGCGGTCTTTGCGTTTGGTCCATAATTCCACCAAAAGTTCAACGACGCTTGGTTTAAACGTGCAACAAAATTTGACAAACCTGTCTACTTTAACTTGAATAAATTTAAAGTTAGCAACACATGTTTATGTTTTCGATGTAGGCGTCGACCATTTTCGACTCAACCCTCCTCAGTGCTCGTCCAGTGGTTTTCTTTTCTTCGAAACTCACGCAAACAACGGTATGTTCCCTTATTTATATGTGCAACAGTGCCTTTATTTTCAAGCAATTTGTCTTATGATCTAACTAATGCTTGCGTGTGTGTGCGAAACATCCTGTTTTTGCCGCGTTTTTCATTTTCTGCATAGACTATGGATTTTCACAAGGTTGAAAGTTTCGCAAGAAATTTCGTTTCTATCAAATGCCTCGATTAATTTTTAGATTTGTTGCTATGACAACTTACAGCTCTGTGGAATTGACTTTTCGGTAGTTCCAGGGAGTGCTAATTGATCCCAGTTGGACGGTTCGACTGGTCTCAAATATTATACAACTTATTCTACCGTTATTGAGAAAACATAGTTTTTTAATGACTATTCAAAAGCCAATCGAAGCCGTGCTGTGGCTGCTAGAACAAAGACCGACGCGACGCGATGCCCGAGAACTAAGGCGCGTTAGCCATTTCGAGTTCTGTCGATTTCTCACAAGAGCCGTTTGTTTTACCTTCCAAAAAGTGCGTGCCCCGTTGTCGAGGTGCTGTAAACAGTTTCCCTGCAATGGCGCCTTCACCGTTTCAAAATCCCGTCCAAGTTAATCGCGCCTTCAGTGGAAGTTGTGAGTGGCGGTTGCGTGTGGCAGTGCAGATCGTTGTCCGACTTACGTTTGGAAAATTCCCCGTTGTACTGTCGGGGTGAATTCACGCGACTGAATTCCTGCTGCTTGTCTACGACGAACGAAGAGGTTTTTCGTGAACAACTGGGTTAATTATGACGACATGAGGTCATTCTTAGCGAGACCCCTCGTGTCTCGCCAGAACCCCCCTCTAGTGATATCGATTCAGTTGAAGCCCTCGTACGCCTTGAGTAGGCCATTGAAACTCCTACAGAAACATCACAATAGTAGAGTTAAATCACAGAACCATGTGGGTGTTTTTCCTCCTATTCTGCTTAATTGCAAGGTCGAACATGTAGGTTCAATCATTCCTTCGTGTTTCGAGCACTACCATGGCATGTCACGACGTTCAGTCCGTGGCGTAGTGCACCAGCATTGCTTTTCTTTGAAAGAACTCTCTGCATGTATGGGGGCTAACCTTTTATTAACATAGCCACGGCGCTTTGCGTTTATTGTGCGACTCTGCCTGTATGGCAAGCGCGACAACCTACGAATTATTTGTTCAATCCTCGGATGATGCGTGGGCGAGATCGCCTCGTTAAACGTCACCACCGCCTCCCCTGCGTTTTGCCTCGTCTTAAAGTCTGATTCCCGCCATGCGCGCCCCTCCGCCGTGCGTGTGTGCGTGGGTGGGTGTTTTCTTTTGCTACTCAATCCACCTTCTCTACGATCGATTTTTTTGTTTGCTTGTTCTCCGCTAGGTGGGATCAGAAGGCCTTCTTGTCGTTGACGGCTGGATCAAGTTTAAGGCTGGACCTCGCGTGCCCCGACTCATCGAGGTAAGTGGTTTTTTTCAATTTTGCCTTCTGCTACTGACACTTAGGTAAATGCGCCGTGGGTTACCTGAATTTATTAGCGTGCAGGATTACTATTTAAAACAGTATGTGAAGAGCTCCATTTTGATTGTTCTATGCCGATAGACTTTAACGAATGAGTAACTGTTGGACCAATAGCAGAAGACCATTCAGAAGGTCTGTGTGGGTCGTCCTGTTGCTTTTTCTGCCATTGGCTATGGCCTTATTCATGATTTGGTAAATAATAATAATTCATGGATGACCGCTGCAGCGATTGCTGGGTGACAATTCGGCTGTATTCACTTCAACGTGGCTGCACCCCGAAACGCGGTTCGTGGGTTCCGCACACTCTTTGGCAGAACAGAACCCACTGAACCGTGTTTCCACAGCCATTTCCCTCCTCGTCGTGCGAGCTTCTTCCACTTAACCAAACAGTAATGTCGGGAACTACTGCAACTCATCCACATTCAATGTTAAAATTTGAGCAAGAGATGCAAAGTTGGTCAATGATTCAACAAATACTGAAAACGAGAAGTCCTCCAGAAGCACCCACCGCATTTTCACCCCTTTTTTCTCTTCTAAATTAATCTGTATGTGTAAAAATGAGCTTTTTTGATGAAGTCAAACGTTGCCTTGAGATTTTATTTGAATTGGAACCACGCAAGAAGGCGTTCGGAAACTTGTAAAACGGGGACAGAAATGAAGGAGAGTACAACTTTGTTTTATTAAATTCCGGTTTCACTTCAGACACGATTTTTTTGCAATCATATTAATACACTTCGTTTCGCAATGTGACTTTCGAACATGGAAATTGACTCACCAACAACTCCCTCGTTGTACAAAATGTTCGTGAATGGCATCGCGCTTTTTAAATTTGCTAGTTATGCGCCAGTGGGTTAAAATGCGTCTACGTCAATCAACCGACCAAGGAGGCGTTTGTGGTGTCGATTTGCGGACTCAGACTAAATCGACCGGTTCTCGTGTTTCCAATCGCGATAGCTCATTCTGGGGGAGGGGGGTTTGTGGGCTTCCCATTTGCACGCTCCATTAAGAGTGCAAATTAAGGCAGTTGGTGCTGTCGTCTTGACGGGTCTATTGTGATACTTCTCCGTTTAGTTCAAATATGGTGGGCTAGTCCTTCCACCTAATTCCGCGTTGTGATTTCCAAGGCTCTCAAAAGTAGATAGAGCGAGGAATCCTCCAAACGTGTCACGTGTGTTGTTCTGGCCCTCTCCATGAACGCCTCATCAAATATGTCCCCTCGGTGTCCATATTATTGATTGATGCTTTTCTTACGTTCTTAGAATAATATCCGTACACTTTTGTCTTAACATGAAGTGGGGCGCGTTCAAAACTGACCTCGGCGTATTTACCTAGTCGAGGCAATGAGGCTTTCGGTGATCAAGTACTGTTTACTGGGGACCCGCGTTGTTGATGTTTGAAGTCGCCAAAACAGTTTTAGCTGGGTGCACAAATAGCATGGACAACGCCTAATTTAGGTTGGGGCGTGACCGCTGTACAAAACTGGCGGTCGCCTCAACGACTAACCCAAATTCTTTGCTTTCAGGGCCTGAAATTGTGCCTAGACCGACTGTTGGATAGCAAGATCCGAAATCTTGGCTCCACCAATTGGGACCCTTCAAGTATCGAAGGCCGCATCATCCAAACCATCGTGGACTACTTCATTAACGAGGCGCCACCCGCCTTCGAGATTGCCGACCACAGCCGAGCTCCCGTCTGGAAACAGCATCAGCAGCAGCAGCAGGGTGGAGGGAACGTTCAAACTCATCACGGGGCCCAAACCATGAATAAGCCCAAGCGGTGATTGTACTGATTACCTGTACAGATTCCGTAAATATCTGTCCCTTCACACTTGCCGCGCCTTTTTACTCAACACCTGATAGATAGTCGTCTCACGGGTCAATTTGACTTTGTCGTTGTGGCGGACGTGAACTCGTTGGGTGACCTTGATTCAAACACTGTACCAATCTTCCTAACAAATAAACTAGCAGTTCGATTCGTGCAAAAGCAACAAATCTCCTTGTGGCTGCGAGAAGCACCCACGTGAAGGACGCCTTCACTGTAATCAACTTTTTCTCTGGCGGGCCAATCGCACTGCCGATGTGTGCGCACTTCAATAGCCAAGTCTCGTTCCCGCAATCACGTGACCTCTCCAAAGGCATGTCTCCGGGCTGACTTGAAACCCAGCTACGGCCGGCCACCCCCTTAGGTACTCAAGCTCGCATTCCGAAAAGTGTACCCCCGTATTGGAAATAAAGCTAATGTTTACTTGGAAAATCCTTGAAACAGATTACCGTGGGCATTGTCACCGTGTTTCAATGTCTCTCGAAACACGTGTGGATGAATTTTTTTATAAGTGCTACCAAAGGATTCCGTTACCTTGCAAAAACGAGCAACATTAGCTGGGCGTTAACGCGTGTGTTCGTGTGCTTCGATGGGATTCGGTACTTGGCTTCAATTTCGCTAACATGGTATTAATCGTAAAGCGGCGTGGTCATTAGGATTGTATGGGTACTAGTGAAATTTTTAAAGCCCAATGCTTTTACGCCACTTGGGAAGGTATTGGAGTTATTTGTGCATAATTCCAGATACCCAATTACATCGTGGTCACGCAAGCCTAAAAGTACACAACGAAACTGCAGTGGTGGAGCTTAATTTACACGATATGGGGCTCGTTAATGTGGAAGCGAAGTGGTATTCCAACGGTGAGGCTCACCATTGTTTACTTTGGCTAAACAATTATCAATGCGCTGTTGGGTGTACTAGTGTGTGTAAATACTAGACTGAGAAGAGGAATTCGACGATGTTGAATGCAGTTTAGACTGCGATGCGGTTTGTGTTGGCTAATCGCACTTGGCCCAGTTTGAGATGCACTCCATTTGATGTCATTTTGTCGATTCACCGCTCATCACCAATGACAACTCGTCGTTACAAACCGAGGGAATATTGCATTCCGTGCGAAATGTCCATCTCAATCATCGATTCCTTGTTAAGTGAGTGTTTGTGATGTATTGCGTAGCCTCACAACAGCCCACCGCACACCTATGTTGCCTAGATCCGGTTCGCTTTTGGCTTTGAGTTGTCCATCATCAATTTTAGTAGGCCGAACAATACGTAGATTGGCCTCGAGCGGGAAATTTCCAGGTGGGAATTTCACGGAGCCATTTTGACAACAATCAACAACGTTTAGCGAGGTATAAACTAGCAGCGCCGCTACACTTCACACGTTTCCGTGTTCGTCTCTGCAGTTGTGCTAAATTTGACACCAACTAACGACAACTGTAAATAAGACCACGCGAAGTATGCCTCTGAAGAAGGCCTCTAAAGAAGGCCAAACGTGACAGCTATCAAATGTCAAGGGGTAATTAGTGTAACACTGACAGAGGGTCTGGAAGACAAGAAGAAGGCACAATCGACTTGTAAGACACCCATGTTACTTTCATGCTGACACGTCGACTCACCTCTGCCAACACAAGTGACGGATGGAGTGCCTGGCAAGAAATTGCTCACACTCATTGCCGCTCAACTCTAGGGTGCTCTATTTTTATGAGGTCATGACAACCGCATGTACAGGGTGACTTTGCAGACAGTCGAATTTCATTCAAGAAACCATCTCCACTGCCAAATTCGTCTCAGCCAGGCACACACACGCGCGCGCGGTTTCACTGGAAGCTGGCGATGATTCGGAGTCACACTTACTTGGGTGAGTTAGTGAGTTCAACAATGAACACCGATGCGTTTTCTATGGGAACCACACCTGCAGATGCAAATCAAACCTCCCACGTTGACCGTTTCACCCTCGAACGATTGCGTACCGAAAGCGCAGCAATTTTTCAGACTGTGTGATTCTGGAATCAACCGACTGGTCACGCGCTACCACTACAAGATGCACAGATGTTGTGAACAAATTAAGTGTGGTCTGTACTTTCCGACGTGCAGGAGACAAAACAGACCCAGATTACTAATGACGGTGCACACACGAGTGGATTGGATTGTGCTAATAATTGGGATTATTTCGCGTTAGTATTGTTTTCGATGAAATTAAAACTGGAGGAAAACAGTGAGTAGGCCTGATGGATAGATCTCAGCGACGTCTTAAGAAGGCCAAGAAATCAACTGCGTGTTTGCCTGTCTCTTGCAATTCATTTCACTGCGACTGTGACATTGTGGCGCGGGTCGTTTACATCACACCACAGTCCTAATCAACTCATCAAATAGTACGCTCTTCCAACCATTCCTAATGCCATCGAATGAATTTTCCCATGCGTAAATCACTCTGTTTATGAGCATTTTTAGTTAAATGTCAATGCAGCGTTCCATTTGACCGACAGCGCACTGGTCACTATTTCGAGCCAATGCGTATTGTAAAGAGACCGATTCCTCGAGGAATAACCAGTCGAGTTTCACAGTCCATCGGCTCTGTGAAATGTCAACATCCATGTTCGTAATGTGCGGTCACATCGGCTGCAGCAAACGACGCCACACCCTTTTCCGGGTTAAAACGTTCACTGTAATCTAACAAACTAGCGACCTTGCAATTTGGCGGCGATGTATCTTCAACTTGCTCTGCTCTCATCAATAATTCAGTTCTGCGGAAGGGTAGGAAGATTAGAGGGAACACAATCGCCAACTCAAATTTCGGAATTGGCGCACTTTAAGTTGATTTAGCTCCTTTAAACCCTGTTATTAACTTGTCAACTTCGCAGCCTCGGAGCTAAATAAAATTCCCCTGCTAAGCTCATGAAGGAGACGCCGCATGTTAAAGTGCACTTTCCCTAGAACGAGTGATTCCACGCCTTTGAGCAACATGCCTGTCCAGTGCAGAGTTGTCCAACGCCGAAATCCTCACAAGGAGATTTCTTTGTCCCGTATGTCCACAACCAACTATAATATAGGTTTTGTGATCGTGTGATATGAAGTAGTATTTCATACATTGGAAGTTTGTGTCCCCAGCGGATTGTGTGTGTGTGTGTTGCAGGCGTCATTCCCATGTCGACTTCTACAACTTCAATTAACTGTCGTGGAATGCAGCTATTTCAACATGACTTAAACCTGACGTTACGATAAAGAGGAACCCAGTTTGTCTCCCTTTCAAGAACCGAAGAATGTCAAGCGTAACACGTCCGGAACCGAACGCACCGTAAACGATGGTTGGGTAGGTGAAAAAGGCCATAGTTTCGCCATCGGCGATCAATGCATGGGGTTTAAAGCTACTTAAACGAAACTCACGCTGACCTCAGTCCTCAAGAGGCCACAGCGCAAGGCGGAAACTGGGGTGACGTGAACGCGCTTCTAGTCACGTGAGGACAACGTGAGGCTGTTGGGTTATGACTCACCCGCATTGGTTACCATCGGTGATTAGGCCGGGCCTGTTTGTGTGCGCGCCCAAACACTGTAGAAGGCAAAAAACGCGACTTTTGCCGTGTACCAATAATGACACCAATTTTGGAAGTACCAAAACTAAATACATTCCATGGCTAGCTGGTGAATCAGCGGTTTTGTCTTTCCGGTCGTCTCGTGTTTTTACCAACCTCTGTTATCGGATCTCGCGTCCGTTAGCAAGTGATAGGACTTTGATGCAGCAGCTTCACAGCTCCTTCCTTGCGTGCATCAAAAATCGATCGATTGCGTTTAATCAATGTAATCGCCAGGGTTATCGTCCCTGTTGTGGTGTTTTGTGGACGTCCTTCATTTTTCACTGTGATTGGTTACCTTCTTCGTGCGCATGACCCAAACTCACTACAGCTAGCCCTCCTTGTTCATTCGACTAGTGCCAGTTTCGGCATTCTAAATGCCTTTTCCCAAGTTATAACTGGTCGGTAGCTGGGCTGAGGAAATGTTTCATTTCAATGTTAACCATTTATCAACCTGTCACGTTGAATGTAGTTGATTCAGAACGACTTACAATGAAACCCTTAGTCTAATCCCATATCTCATCCCTGTAGACTTCCTGCTGAAAAGAATACCAGTTCCAGGAAACCTGAATAACTCGAAATCTTGACAACATTTCTTCCGCAGAAATCGACGAAACCGTCTTTTTCAACAGGACCCAAGAAAAATGTGGCTTCGCTGGAATGTGCCGACAGATCCATGCCACACTTCCAGTGACGCGGATGTCCATAAGCTTTCTAGATTTGTCTTGTGCAGTTGCCGCAATCCTTGATCTCTCTCGTGACCTCCTCAAGCGCGATTCGATTCTTCAAGAATCTCGAGCACAACTTGATTATTGATCTCCAAAACTATTCCTTTTTCCGAGTCCCAATAACATCATCATCAGACCTTTTCTTTTGTGCCAGATGCTTGACGTTTATCAGATCTAGAAGTTAGAATTTTGTTTACCCCGCGATACATGTTTTTTAACTGTGGACGCCATATGATCGCTGATGGTAAACTAGCAGTTGTCGAGGCCTGCATTTTCAAGCAATTTGGAATCAAGTTCGTCTCACTACACAAATATTTGACTGCCTAAAGATAGGACCAGTCTGGGAATAATTAAGTTTGCATTTCCGAATTTGTAAACAACAAGCTCAAGTCAGGTTAACTTGTTTCGCAATGGCGGACATCGGTAAGGCGACCTCACCCAATAAACTTCAGCTGATCTGCCTTTAATTCTTTTGAAGATATCATAATCCCTATGAGCACATCACGCAAGTAGCCGGCGGCTGGAGCTACTGTCGTGAGTCATGTTAGGTCACACATCTTAGCTAAGAATACGATACACACTGACAACGACTTGGTTAAGCTCTGTCGTACGCAATTGCGTCCCGCCTTCTCCAATCTTCTTCATCTTCATGGGTACTCAAG